TTTAAAACAAAATCAAAATCATCTAAATGTATTCACCTTATATGGAACTACTATCGATTTATGTAAATACTTGGCGGATAAGCGACAACTTATCAAATCTCTACCGTGTTACCTGTGTATAATTTAAGGAGATATTACCAACTGGGGACGTCCACCCGTGTGATAAAAGGGTGACGATGACAACCTAAAAATTTTACGAGATTCGAAAATTATGAAAGATAACTAAATCATTTTGATTACACACCAAAATTAAAGTTGAGCTCAATATGGTTTCCATGACGATTCCAATTTCGAAACTTTAATATATCACCGTAAGTTCTGCGTAACGACTGGTGAAAAAGTTTATAGTTCTTTCTTCTTTTATTCATATTGCGTTTGTTTAAGAACTGGTTTCCACATGGCGGAATTATACACTCAATTTGGAGACAAATCCTCACCCCCGGTCTATTCTGCAGCAGTCAATTTTTGGATAATGGTCACGGAAACGTTTTCTTCGGGAAATATGTAAGCCAAGCACTCGTGTACCACGCAGGCGTGGCGTCGTTCCTAAGAAATTTTGAAACTTTGATGGTAAAAAAACTTATTTCGGATTTTTTTGTTAATAACGCATATCGCATGGGTTTGGTATATGAGTTTTCGAGTTATTTCCCGTTGATGAAAAAAACGTCTCCGTAATCATTACGCTCAAAATATGTAGGAAACTACAATATTTTAATGGGTATTTCCAAATTATTCAATTAGAGTGTACTGATCATTATGCTAGTGAGGTGACGGGTCGAGGCTTTTTGGATCCCATTTCGGTCTCATTTACATAATGAATTTTAAGGTACTTGGGTTCCAGTTTTCTTTTAAAAATTTTGCATACTTCTTGATCAGGATAAAATCTTAAACATGTCAAGTTTTAAAGCTGCACTATGTATTACATACGTAAATATATGCATGCATCAGAAATTCATAGAAAGTAAAAACGTGACAAACTACCTGCATTATCATTAAAGGTAACTACACCTTTATGTTTGCATGTATGCACTATGTGATAATAATTGTCTATAGTTTAAACTTCGTGCAAAAATTGCACTAAAAGTTCACCACTTCGTTTTCTTCCTAATATTAATTACAAACTAAATATAGTTTGCTACGTTGAAGGGTACCCAATATCGTATCATAATGAATACTTAATAGTGATTAAAGCTAAAAATGAAATAATTAGATGAATGACCGGACAAGTGCGATTTTTATTTGCACAACTTGGCGGACTGGTTTGAATTCAGATAATTTTCAAGCTGGTTAATTAAATCTAGTAATATTTTTTATATATATATTGAGCTGCATATCTGCATGCACATTTAGAAATTTATTTCGTTTATTCGATGAAAATCAGGTAATATTTGAATAATATTTAACATTTATTAACCTCATTTTATAAAACTTGTGATTATAAAACCCGGTTTTACTTATGTGAATATTTAAATTATTCCTGCAAAATAGTCTTCTTTTATCTTTCCAGAAATTTGTCCAGATCAAGGTCATCCATTTAAACATTTCGTCTACGTGGCAATTGTAACAAGGTTGTTTAAAAAATTAGCGCCCGATTGGCAGCCCCCGGAAATCCATTCCTGGCAGCCCACGTGGTGACGCGATTTGGTGGACGAGATCGGCCCCCATATTCCCTAAAAGGACGTCTAAAACAGATCGCTGGGCGGCACCGCTTTTAAACCTGGAAAATCCGGAGTAAGGTGAGCTACAAAAATGGACAAAAATGAAGTCAAAATGAAGTAATTATATTCGGATCTATATATTCATACTTCAAAATGAACCCGTTTTCTTCTGTAATGAATACACTCTCAGAAATCCAGTTTAAAAAAACACCTCGTGGTATTCATATATGTATAAGCCTTTACCAAAATGGTATTGGCAAGTATGCCATATAGTAACTGCCAGTAACTGGTCAGTATTAAAATTTTGCAATTTCGGTAGCAAATTTTTACCGACCGGTGTACATACATAATTTAACTATCACGTGGAAGAAACTTTAGTACCAAAAATTAAAAATCTGGTTGACATATATCAGATTTCTAACAGCGTATTTTACCACTTTATATAATTATGCAGGGGCATTTTGAGATTACTCACCATCCCCCATAAATCATGAACGGGTAGTTACTATTGTACTGGCGGGAAGTTCTATTTTTTCCGGTTTTGATAGAAGACTCAAATTTTGGGATGTTGAACTCCTGCCAGAAATTAACGAAGTAAGCTAAATGTAACAAGTAGAATTTATAGGTATGTTAATATTTTCTAACAATTACCAATTTGTTTGCGACCGGAGAATCCTTCTGGTGGTCGGGTTGTACCGGTGATGATAAACAGGCTGACACCGATATGATCAAAATTAGCTAAAATTTAAAAGTTCAGAACTTTCTTACTTTATTACTTAAAAATTGATTTCTGGGAAAAATGTAAATTTACTTAGATTAACTTACATATAATAAAATGCTCATTCTGCCCCAGAAATATTTTTTAATGCTTACGACGAAACTATTGCAGATCAATGGTTGATATTTAACTTTGGCTATATTAGGGCGAATCTACGCTTTTATACAAACTCCGATCTTTCTCGAGCTGTTTTACATATTCAAAAATTCGCACTAATGGTTTTTACAACTCATTTAAAACACGTTAATTCTTTTTCACAGTTGCATAGCTACAAGCCTCAATCTTTTTCATTATGTATGCATGTAAATATGTTTTATTTATTAATTAAAAAATTCGCGCTGTCACTGACGAGATCAATAATGGTTTTTATACCTCATTTGAAGTACGTTAATTTCCACAACTTTCTTTCGCTCTGGTAAACTTGACATGAGATTAAAGCTGGTTCTTCATATTTTTATTAAGCAATTTGACATGCATCAGGATCAAATAAGTGGTCGCGTTATCAGATGAAATGTAATCTTAAGTGGGCAAGTAAAGATTGCAAGGTCAGTGTCACGAAAAATTTTATCCTGCGGTAAAAATTTGGAGAACATACCCCACGGAATATTTAGAAATACCGGTACTTGCCATGTTTGAAGAAAGTAATGGCCCACGCCTATTTCATGTTGCACTTATTACTTAAGATTAATACTTACGGTGAACCAGTTTCATGATGTGTAACAATAAATGAACATATTATTGGAGACATGTTTACTTAGAAAATTTGATAATCCTTCAAATACTTCATATAATAAAATGAGTAAACGTTTACAAATTCGATGAAGAGCGTACATACTTAAAACGTAGTCAAATAAGTATTCTTCACTTATCAAGAAATACATCTACATATGGTACAAAATAAGTTCAATTCGCTTCAAGTGCATCGATAAGGAAACAAGTTTTGTCATCCAATTTCTTTAAGCAAAATAATTTCGCTTCAAATCTTTAAATGTATATGTAACAAGGGTAATGTCGTTGCAATGAAAAATGCACCACTTAAATATTGGCACTTATGTATGTACATATGTACAATGGAACCTTTTTTTAAGTTAGCGATTTATGTTACAAATTCAAGCCAAAATTTAAGAATCACGTGACGCCTATGTATTTTTCCATTTAATGGTCTTCTTCGAAGGAAGAAAAATATTGAGGGGGGGGGCAAAGTTCACGCGCCCGCATTATTTTTCGCCCCGTGGAGAAAAAATTAAGTCGAAAATTTAACAAACATTTTTGGGCTTCTAGATAAATTTTGGACGCATTCTGGCCTGGGATTTTGTAATTATTGAAGTCAATTTTCTTAATCTACTCAATAATATCAGTTATTCTTAACGTGGTATTTCAGTTTTATCATACACAAATATTCGTCGACCCGATCCAAATCTTTACACAAGTGCTTATTTATGTACTAGATCGATGTAAAGAAACAGGGTCTTGTTTAATTTTTCCAAGAACTGAGGTACAAAATCTATCTAAACTAAACTATGTTAGAAACTTACCTTTTTTGAGTCATTCTTGCCTCCACCCTAAAAAAATGGATATGACCCTTTTAAAAAATAAACCGTAGTAACGTTAGAAGTAGCTCACCCTGTAATAATGATTTGGTTATAACTTGCCCCAAAGGTGCAGAAAAATGCAACAAAATAGATACATAATTTTTTGGCAATTATGCACCAATGGTGCAGAAAAATGCAACAAAGTAGATCAATAATGTTTATGCAATATTGCACCAATGGTGCAGAGAAATTAAACAAAATAGATCAATAATTATTATGCATCGAGCAAAGTCCAAAAATTGTGCATCACTGGTGCAGAATTACCTACCAACGAACAACGATAATTTTGAAAAATTTATGTCAGAATTGTCAAATAAAATCCGCCGAGTGCTATGCATTATTGGTGCGTTATGCATCAAAGCCCCCAATTCTTTCGCATCATTTGGTGTTTCCGATTGTTAGATACCAACGGTGCTATTAATTTATGAAAAAATGGACCTGATCCATTCTAGTGAGTATCAATTGATGTTCATCCAATTGTTTCGCATCAGCTTGGATATCCAACTGTTCAATACGAACGGTGCTACTTATTCCAAAATTGTAGTGCTTTCTCGATCCATTTGCACAATTAATTCGCACCATTTGCGCCACGGATTGTTCGATACCAATGGTGCGCCTAATTTATTCTATAATGGTCAAGGGGATTATTAATTAGCATCAATTGATGCCAAAAACTCGTGAACACACAGACAGACGGACGGACGGACAAGAGGAATTCAATAGCTCTCATGCTTCGCAGGGTGAGCTAATAAGTAAACGCAGTCTCAATTCTATATTAAGTATTCTGCACTAAATCCAAACCAACGTTACCTTGTAAATGGTAGGTAAAGTTTACTTTGGATTTAGTACTTAATATTGAATTTCGACTGGATGTCCTGCTCTAAAGGGTAACACTATTTTTAAGAGTGAACCCAAAGAAAGACAGGCTTGGACCTCTCCCTTCTTCTACACCCTTCTCAGTCGTCATTCTTGTCTCACCGCACCACACTAAACATTTTAGCTGAATAAAACAACATTAGAGAAATTATAAAATCCAGGATTAAATAAATTATACATATTTGGATTTCTTTTCTGCGTAAGCACACTTGGAAACATGGGCAGAGAAAACAATGTCGTACTATTTGGAGAATCTGGTAACAATTTATATAAATATACATATTCAAGTTGGCAATATCTTACTTGTTTTTATTGTAAAAATGAATTTAAAAATAGCCTTTTAATTATTCAGGAAGTGGTAAAAGTTCCACTGTTAATCTACTCCTTGGCCAAGAAGCTGCCAAAGTTTCGGATCGTGCAGTGGGATGCACATTTAAGTTTGAGAAGTATGCAACAGAGAATTATAATCTATTCGACACTGTTGGCCTTTCAGAAGGAAGTAAGTATATATTTACTGTAGATACATATTTCGCATATTTGCAAATTTTTTGAGTTAGTGGTTTGGCTCCATTGAAATGTACACTGCCAAAAATCTGGTTGAGTTACATACATGTATGAGACTTTCTGCCATCGCCGCCAGGGTATGGTACCCGGGGTTTTTAGGGTTTTGCGGGTTTTCCTGGGTTTTTGGGTAGCAAATATTAGCAATACCCACGGGTAGTCGGGGTAATTAGTCGAGGTTTTCAAATTTAATAAAGCTTTACTAACAATTCTACAAATGAAATAGATATTACAATTAAATTAATAAGCAACGTTTGTGTGAAATCACTGAAAAAGCGGATTGTTTTCATAACTGAATACATGAGAAACTTCCTCAGTTTACCCCCAAAACCCCGACTACCCCCAAATCATTGCAGTGATGAATCTCTCGTGAGAATCAATCCTAATCATAATTAAGGATTAATAATTTGGGCACACTTCGTCGCGATTAAGCATTAAGGATTAATGGAGTGAAAATGTTTGTCGGGATTAAGGATTATTAATCCCAATCGTTAATCCTTTAATCACGATTAATTAATCACGCATCTCTGGCGTAAAGTCATATGCATCAGTAACGATTTATTTCTAATTTTCTAAAATCCCATCTATTTCCACAGGCAGGGGAACAATGAGCCAAACCTCTGCGGTCAAGCAGCTGATCACCTTGCTAAAATCCTTGGAGGGTGGAGTCTCACTTTTGGTCTTTGTCATGGAAAATGGAAAAATTACAAAGAGTCTTGACGAAAATTACAAACTATTTGTGGAGGCAATCTGCATGAAAAAAGTGCCAAGTCTTCTTCTCGAGAAGAAGACTTTGAAGAAGACAATGCGTTACGAGAATTCTCGTAACGCATTGCGAGATGGACGCCGAGCCTGGAAAGTGGTGGGACGTGAACAAACAACATTTTGACAAATATGGGTATGTACTTCTTTGATTTGTAAAAACCACTATTCGTTCATAGAAAATATGTAGACAAAAGTCTTTAGATTTGGTAAATCAAATTTTTCTGTAAGGGAACGTTAAAATATTATTTTATCAAAAAACGGCAATTTTTAACCCACCCACCTTGGGCTCGATTTTTAAACCACCCACCTTGGGTTCGAGTATTGGCAGGAAATTTTCTAAAATTTTGAACGGTGATTTTGAACGGGATTTTCTCACCCGAATAAAGCAGACAAATAACCCAACGGCCATATAACCTCTCAGATTTATTGTCTCAATTTTCTGGAACGAATAGTATGAGTTAATTAATTAATTATTTATCGCCTTCCATTCTAATTTTCCACTTTTCATCCGCAGAATGGAGTTCTCCTCAGTTATCAGCGGATGTTCCATGAATCCAGCCACGGCTCCGGGGATCATGCAACTCATAATCAAATCACTAAATGAACAAACGGTGGCACAGCTGCATGACGCCATAATTTCGAAAATGCTTATTCCAGGATGGAAAGTGGAAGGTGGTTGGGGAACTTGGTTTCAGAATATTTTCATGAAAGTTATAGGAATAATTTGTTCCTTTTTTTGGCTTCAATTTCTTTTTTGGTAGAGAACCCTGTTTTGAGGTAAGGCTATTTGAGTACTTCCAACGACTCGGGTATGATGACCTTGTCTCGGGGCAAATGGCTAAGGAAATTTCAAATGCAATGTGATGGAATATTTGAAATATAAATATTCGAAATATGTAATTTACGCTTTGTCTCAAATGTAAGAGATGAAAATTGAAAATGCTCTTATTTTGTGACGTACGTGTCCTCAGTCTTGAGGGTTGGGTATATTATAGATAATTTATTGTCACATGTCTCCACAAAGTTTCATTCAAATTCGGCTTCAACTTTCTGTGATTTTAATATTTTTCCAAAATTAGTCAAATTTTACTGTCTCAAAACTAAGAGATAGGGCGTTTTTTAATTAATTTAATATTAATTCCTAATTGAATCCTGACCAATAAGCTGTTTTTAATATTTGGTGAAACCTCCCTGGATTAAAATTAACTCAAATATCCGTCGTTTCATTGAATCATTCAAATTCTGCAGAGTTTCCAATGGGATGTTTGCCCATTCTTCGTGAATTTGGCGTTCCAGTTCTTGTTTGGTCCGATACTGACGTCCGTGTGAATATACTCCACGCGAAAGTTCGGCCCACAGATTCTCCTTTGGATTGAGATCGGGACTTCTTGCTGGCCAGGGCAAAGTCCGAACGTTTTTCCTCGCTAGAAAGTCCATTGTGGAGCGAGAAGCGTGAATTGAAGCATTGTCTTGCTGGAAAATCCACCCTCTCCCTCCAATTTTTGGACCTTCTCGAATGAGATTTGCCTTGAGGACTTCTTGGTAGCCTAGGGAATCTGTTCTTGGTGGAATGGACGCAAGTTCAGTCTTTCCATTGTACCCAAATCCTCCCCAAAGCATTACAGACCCACCCCCTATTAATAAGCCAATCAAAGATTTTTATACTTAATGATGAAGTAGTTTATTGTAAAAATAACTGGTCTAAAATGGTTTCTGACATACCTGCTTGTCGTTTGGAAAAGATTTCTGGTTCCTTCTTGAGATGGTGCCAGTAATACGAGTAACCATCCGGTCCGTCCAGATTAAACTTTTTTTCGTCCGTGAAAATGACCTTTTGCCACTCTTTGTCCCATGACATGTGTTTCCTGGCGAATTCCAGCCTTGCGCCCTTGTGGCGTTGGGTCAGGGGAGGCTGCGTAAGCTTTTTCCTCCACTCCAAGCCGGTATTATTGGTCAGGGATCTATGCACGGTGTGTTTTGAGACGGTAAACGGCAGTTCCCTTTGAATTTCTCTGATAGAGTACTGCCCTGTTGCGGCAAGTTTGCTAATTTGTCGCTCGTCCCGAGGTGTCAAAATCTTAGGGCGACCATAGGAAGTGGTTTCAAGGCCTTGGTGGGTCTTTGAATTAAGATAATTCGAGATTGCACTTTGCGAACACCCGAGAAATTGAGAAATTCTCGATTGAGACGCCCCTTGCTTATGCAGAAGGTCGATCTGCCCCAACTGGTAGTCGGAAAGAGGTTTCCCGGTTGGCATCTTGACCAATACTCATTTCAAGTCGAGAACTGGCCAGGTGGCTAAGTGATTAATTGATTAAATTTCCCAAAAACGCCCTATCTCTTACTTTTGAGACAGTCCAATTTGACTAATTTTGGGAAAATGTTAAAATCTCGGAAAGTTGTAGCCTAGTTTGAATGAAACTTTGTGGAGCCATGTGGCACTAAATTACCTATAATATTACAAAATATCATGACCCACGAGTAACATATCACAGAATGAGAGCATTTTCAATTTCTATCTCTTACATTTGAGACAGAGTATAATATTTGAAGTATTTTTGGCAATACAAATTTGATATTTTCCGCTTCAAAATCCGTCCTAAACATTCTTGCCATTTGTAAGAATATTTCTACATGTATAATCTCTTATCAACTCGTTAAGATTAAATATATAACATAATTATCCGTACCAATTAAATACATACATATGTACACAAATATGTGTTCCTACATTAAATGGCAAAACTAAATTGTACTTGACCCTTGTGCGAGGTAAAACAGGGGTCACCATTACTGGATTGTACATACAGATATTTTTTGCCAGTTAATAAATTCGGGTTAATTCTGAATAAATCATAAGTACTCAAATTTCTTAAAATTCGCCAAAAATAAATGGATTTGGAGTAAAGCTCCAACATACATACATGGATACAATCTGACAATTTGTCACCTTGGGGGAAAGATTATCACCACGTGGTGAAAACTTTATTACCCTTAGGTGAAGTTATTACATACATACATATGCATACGGTTCGGTGACGATTAACACCCGGGTTTTTAAGAGTATACCAAGCCAAAAGTGGTAAATGGAAATATGAATCTGCGTAGATATGCAGGCACGCACAGAACAGAGAAAGGGGAACAGAGCAGAAAATCGATCCGTTTTCCCCTCTCTCATCCTCCGTTAGTGGAAACAACCTGCGTAGCAACCACTATTAGCAACACAGTACTTTCTCCTATTCCCTTTGGGAAAGTGAATGTACTCGCAATATCAGGGCTTTCACTTTTTTTTAAAATATCACAGAATTTTGTAGAAACCGGTTGAATAATTAAAATCATTTGGAAATTGACACCAATTTTATTTCGCAAGGAAACTACGCACAGTTGGAATGCAAATAATCATAATACAGATAATGGCGAGATCTCTAAAGTAAAAAGTAAAGAAATACATGCAGATCGACGATAATTTCATTCTATTTAAGGCAAGATTTAGATTTTTAAAATAAATAAAAATCCCAAATAATAATAAAATTCTTGTCCTCTAATTTCAGACTGGTCGGGCAATTCGTTATCTCCAATACGTCAAACAATTGTTGGTTGTCGAGCAGTTTATGATTAAAATTCGGTACTATAAGTTTGCCTATTGAACTACAAGAAAATAAGTGACTGGACAAATGACTAAAAACAATGCGAGAGGTTAGTACATGAAAACTTATTATAAATCGAACCCCAGCTCGCAAATGATTCACGAATATTAAAGCTGTTAATTTTTCTAACAATGTATTTAGGCTTATCTTGGACACGAGTGAAAATTCGACTACAAAATTCACCAGGATATTGATACATTTTCGTCACCACATCGTGGATATTGTTCACTCCCTCCTACAGTTTGTTACACTTCGCAATCCAAGGAATTAATAAAACCCTGGCAAAATTATGCTTAAAGTCGCCATAATTACGCGAATTATTATATAGATATTTATACTAAGGAGTTAGTTAGTCCTAAGTTATTAAGCACTAAAAGCATAATATTATTACACACGAGCGCAATTTACGCAGACATCTTGAAAAATCAGTGCGTTCGGTACAATAATTTAAAAACTTTTACAAAATACCGGGACGCCCTTAATCTAACCATACATAAGTAATTTTACACTACATAATTTTTTACGGGAACTTTCCTTCAAAATATTTGCAAAAATTTGTGAAACTTTATAAACTCATGGATTATACAATATTACCAAGGTTTACCGGGACGGTTGTTTGGAGGGTTTATTTACTTAAATATGTATTATAATTGTTAATATTGGATCTCTTGGTATAATTTTCCTACATTCTCAGAATATTCTTGTTAATACCGGCCTCAGTATGTTTTTAGATTTTGATTATTATTGTTATGATTATGAAGATGAGGATTGTGATTATGAGGATGATGATGAAGATGACGACGATTATTATGATTTTTATTATTATGATCATTACGATTATGACGACGACGATTATTACGATTTTGATTATGTTCTATGTTACTTCGGTGAGTAAGAAATGATTCGGAAAAAGCCAGGGTTTTTATGAAAAAATTACTGACCCAAGGATTTCAATATATTGTAGGTTTTATATATTTTACTAGGGTCATATGGGCTAAATAAATATGGCATCGTTCAAATTTCATTTAATTTAATAATTAAATAAGAAAATTATTTATGTACTCATTGTTCATTTATGCAACATTTTAAAATAAATATTTCAATAATTGTTCATACATTGATCATTACGTAATTTGAAATTTTTCTATAATTATTATTTATTTCAAATCAGGTTCGCCGGGCAACTCGCCTCTTTTACTAAAAAGGTGTTGCATTCCTGCTGCCAACCAAAAATGCAAATTTATGTTTTCTAAATTAGAACGTTACTACAAAACGCGTAAACAAATAATTTTATGCAGCTATGGTATAAGCCATATGTGCTTAACTCTGTTTACTCTTTGTGTTCTCTGCTTTCTTCGACAAATTCCATTCAAAGGTATCAAATTTCTAGTATAGCGTATAAATGTATTGTGCAAATTTTGCTTCAGTAACCCTACCGCCAAGATAGCATATAAAGGTACGTTTCTCCATTTATTTTTTTTGCCAGAATAATAAAGTTTTTCAAAAACAAGCACAAGCATGGTAGAAACCAAAATTTGAAAGAATATAATCACAATTTGGGCTATATTTCCTACTAAAGTGAGAGGCTTTGGCATTTTGGTTTTTACATCGAATCTAACTCTCAACTTTGTCACCATGTCATCATACCATAACCACTTCTTCGCAATGCCGGATTCAAACAGGGCCATAAATCTGACTGGAATTCGCGGGTCCACATTATTTTGTATTATCCATCCGGTCGGAACCAGGCCAACGTATTCTTTTCCTACGCTATATTCTGGACCAGGACGATGCTTCTCCAGTAAAGCTTTTGTCTCCTTTAATTGTTTAAACCAACCAAGGTATGCTATCTTCTCCTTTGCACACGTAAATCCACTACCGTTTTGAGTAATTTGTGTCGGATAACGATACCAAATATTGGTTACTTTTTTATGAACTACTTGAAAAAGACTAGCATTTTTTAAATGGTTCAAAATTCTTGGCGAAATAACATCCCAGGACGTTTCAATCGTCGATAGTGCACGCATTGTGGTTAAAACATGCCCCGAACCTACTCCTCTCCTTCCTTCATTATCCCTCATGTGAACAATTTGGTCCACAAAAGTAAACCGATTGTCGATCAATTGACTAAAATTTTCATATGGGCGGACTCTCACTGGAGAAATTGTATTTTGCACATTGTCGCCTCGGATCAAGTTGGTGATTACGATTGACATTAGAATCCATGGGGCAGACACGAAGTAAATGTGTGTTTCTTTCTTTAAATTCGCAGCAATTGATGAGTTTTGTTCAAGCAAAATGGAATACCCTGTAGTTAAGATTTCCACTTTAGACGCACCTGCTTTCGAAGTAAGCAACAAAAATAGGCCAAGAAACATTGAAGAAACTATCACAGAAATCCATACATTCAATGAAAACACGTGGATTAAATTTTCCAACGTGGTTTGTGGGAAACGTCGCATTGAACAACTCAGAAAACCATAAGGACGTAAGTTCGTCACTAGTTGGATGCCTACTTCGGCTTTCATGCTAATTTTCGGCCTAATCATGGGGTCACGTGAACACTGATCGAATGAAAGCGTGCTGCCTTCAGGGAGCTGGGATGGGGCACCTGTTAAAAATCGCGGGCAATCATACATCGAAAACTGTAAGGAAGAGTTGCTACCGAGAACCAAGTTTATCAGTATGCCGTCAATATTTACGTCATTCTTTGATATTTCGGAAAAGTGAATATTTCTGAGATTTACGGGCTTAGGGTAACCTACTACACACCAGGGTGTTTTATCTCCAATTTTATTTAAACGACTTGCAACTTCCTCCATTTCTACTGAATTAGTTACATCTTTACCAATGTCTTCACAGACTTGAAAGCAGCCGTGGCAATACTTACAACAAAACTGAAATTTTGTTATAAAGTTATCCTTCGTAAACATGAGAAGCATATTCAGCCCAGAATTTTCATCGAGACTATCTCTCATTTCACTCGCCCAACTTTTTACATCGTCAAAGATACGTTGCACCAGAATGTGATAACCCGTTCGATAGTAACGTTGCATTTGTCTGTTTAAACCAAAATGTTCTTCGTACATCAGTGGGGGCAAAATTCCTCTCCATTTACCGTCGGGTGGGTAAATATAGAATCGGGTCAAGCACTTCCAGCCACGTGGATGGGCAACGTTTTTTCGAAGAGGTATTGGATATGAGCCGAAAGGAACGCATTTGGGCAAAGTCTGGTTAGTAAGTTGATCAAGGAGAACTACTTGATACTGCAATTTTAACCGTTGGTTGGGTACTAACTGAAAATTGCAGAACCTAATAGTGGCGAATCTTGTTGTCCAAATGGGTGTTGATATTGTGGATGGAATATTTATATTTTGGTAATTGATTAGATTTATAACACATCCAGAAAATATGTGGACATACTTGGCTAAATTGTAGATCTCCATAATTTTAGATGGGTCGTACGTATACAGGACGTGGTAATACTGCTGGTGCATAAAATGATAAGAACTTGGCCTTACTGCTGTAAAATATACTACCCAGAGATATACTTTGATCAAACTACATTGGCTTTAATACAGAGATCGACGACGCCGATTGAACGCCAGAGAAAGCAGTTTTCGTGTCAACACGGCCCATAAATGTGATGTCCTATTCAATATCGGCGCCCACAGGCGCCGATATTGACTGCCGATATTGAGTGCCGATCGCCGATATTACGTGCCCCCGACCACTTTGAACGATGCCAAAACCGCCGCTAAATCTTTCGACGTCGACCTATGATTGAATAAATATTTAGTGTTGCACTGGGCGTTTCAATGTACCTACATATTAAAGAATAAAACTCAGATAAATGTATGGTCAAACTCTAAATCAATTGATAAGCATGCTACCTGGTGTATTTAAAACTGACCAACAAATTTAATATTGATGAGTAAATATGTTGTATTATATATGTATATTGCAATATATCTACCAATCCCAAAAAAGGTTATCGCAACATAATTAATAATTTATCAGTTTGCATGACCAAATGCTTATGTACGTAGCTGCGGCACCTTAGATGTCAAACTGCGCTGGCTACTAAATTTATATAAAAGTATCCAACAAAGATGACGCGATATTGATATAACAATCCGAAAAAATTTGGATTTCTCCGCATTCTGACAAAGTATTTGTGCCTAAGTAGGAAAATATTTCTATTTATGTAAGTCAGCCGGGGTCGATGGGCAGAATCGTTAAGTTTGCATACCAGAGGATTTTATGTTCTGGTTAAAAATATATGTTATAAATACATACACACGCAAAATCCCTCCAACCAACAAGGCAAATACGTTACTAGTATGTATGTTCTGCACCGATCATGGAACACTGTTAAAAATCAGGTAGAGTCACATAGATCCTCCGTGCTGGTATTGATTTGCAAATAATTTTCTACCGGATTGGTAGTAAATTGTTCCTGAGTGGTAAATTTTTCATTACCACGACATTACTGAACGGTAATTCCCGTTAATACCAGTGCCGGTAGAGTCACAAATGTACTCCGGTCTGTAATGATTTACTACCAGTTTTCTAAGAGTGTTGCTGAACAAAAAATTCTTAGCCACATTTGACTCTAAACTCCGGTACAACATACATGCACACATATCAGAATAAACGCACCTTCATTACTTATTTCATGGGTTAATTTTTATTAGCATAATAAATACATCAAATATGTTCCATTATAGAGTGTTTAATTGGCAGACCTCAATTACCACTTCAAGTACAAAACTACATATGTACTTGAAAGGATAAAATTCAAATATCCGGATACTAAAACTACCCGAATGTACAAATCTTGAACGTACCACAATTTATTAAACAATATGTACCACATGAGAGAAGAACTTGCATTTTCACAAACCAATATACTCGAATTATATGAATGACGTCGTTTCAAAAACGGTATAAAACCCGGACAGATTCGACATTACAACCAAAATTTTCCCAGACTTTCATTATGACATCGATTTTACTCTCTGTCGCCTTTCTGGCCTTGGTGGGATGGAGTGGCGCCACAACACCGTTCATTTTGGATGCCTGCAGCGGTGCAAAGCCCGGCATTCCTGCGGACATTGCCGCCCAACGAGGAGCAGCTTTAGCCTATGGGAACGAATATCGAAGGCGACATGGTGCCAAACCACTCACCGTGGACCCCACTGTAAGATAGAAATTGATCTTAATCTCAAATTGGCCAAAATTCTTTTCAGACAATCTCCTTTAAGTTTGCACGATGTTGAATTCGTAATTAAATACATAAATACATTTGATAGTAACCAATTAAAATTTTAATGCTTGGTGAAAACGAAGAATATTTTTTAACAAATTTCCAGCATTGGAGTTTTTTTAGAAATACTACTTTTTAACATTGGTTAGTATAGGGAAAATTCAAAAATTTTAGATGGAAAATGTATTGCAAAAATCAGCTTTTTACCATGACGTTGTTTTTCCACACAATATCAAACAAAGGCTCATATTTTGAGCAATCATTTACCGATATATGTATTACTCAATGGGAGTTGTCTATTAGCGACAAGGGTGTTTTTAAATGTGTCACGTGACGAATTTGGTTTGCATGAGGGTAAAACCTACACACACAATTAAGAGATGTACATATCCAGTTGTTCAACACAGCTTGAAGCGGAAGCCCAAAAAAGGGCGGAGTACATGGCGTCGACCCGGATATTCTCACATGGCGCGTATTCTGGCGACAATTGGGCTAGGATTCCGTGCGATAACGGAGTCAAACAAGTGTTCCCAACAGAACCCACGATTCCAGGGGCTGTATACCGGTGGACTCTCGAAGTACCGTTCCGCTGCCGAAATCCTGCCGAGAATCAGTCCATTTTCGTGGGAGATTCAATCCCGGGTTTTTCCAGAATGGTATGGAAGGCTTCTGAGAAAGTGGGATACGGCGCTTCGGTCACCACCGATGGACATATCATCGTTGTGGCCAGGTATTCTCCACTGGCTGATAAAGATCCGGCTGCAGCTATGGAAAATATGCAATGTGAAAGAATCCCATAATTTGGTTCGTGGGGAGGAAAGCGACTTGTGTTTTGCGTCAAAATTTAATTGATGTTTGCTTAAGTATTAATGCATAGGTAAATAAGGAAAATAAAAATCTATGAGCGTGTTTATGTAGCATTTGAAATCTCGTTACAAAAATAACTTATGTAAGTATCTATTTACAGATAAAACATATTTCTTACTGCATAAGGAGATACCTACTCTCCACTTATACACAGTTGGGCTCTTACAGAAAATGAGGATTCTGTGAAAGTACCTAACTCCCTGTCTCATACATAGTAACCGTAATCGTAATTAAAGGAACTTGGGACTTGGAACGATATTGTAAAAGGAATTATGATTTTTAAGCAATATTGAAACCTTGTTCAGCCATAAAAATTTGGAACAAATAGCTCTAACACTTTTGTGATTTATCAAACCGAAATGCTTGTACTTATGTCCGACTATGTATGTATACATCGATACGTACATATGCAAGCTTACTCAAATCAACAAAATAAATACGGTACTGATATCCTGCGCAGATTTTGGAAACCACGGACTTGTTCACCTTTGAGCCAAACAGTGGAATTTAGCTTTACAATATAAACTTACATAGATAGATAAATACATTATATCGTCAATTGGTTATATACCATAACAAATTTACCTTTATAATTGATTTTAACGGTGAATTTGTATACGTACGTATGTAAATATGTACAAATATCAAGTGTGTTCCATATACTATACGGCATTTGCCGCTAGTAAAAAAAAAAATAATTCAATTCAAGTACAAAACCACACAAAAGGACAAAATTCAAATATCTGAACAACACTTTGGTCTGAATGCACAAACCATGAATGCACCTGGACCATGTTGACCACATTTTATTAAACAATACATATTTACCTCAGAACAGACGAAAAACATTCATATACATTCTTCCACACAAATCAGTGCAACTTATTTGAATTTTATCAATGACGTCGTCCAAAAACGGTATAAAACTCGAGCAAATTCACAATACTTGCATAATTACACAAAATTATCCAGACTGCCATCATGTCATCAACTTTACTCTCTTTTGCCTTACTGGCTTTGATTGGATGCAGTTGTTCCACAACCCCATTCATTTTGGAAGCCTGTAGCGGTGCAAAGCCCGGAATTCCGGCGGACATTGTGGCCCAACGAGGGGCTGCCTTATTCTATGGGAACGAGTACAGAAGGAGACATGGTGCCCAGCCACTCACCGTGGACCCCGCTGTAAGACAAAATTTCTTTTTTACCGCATGGTGACCAATATTCTTTTAAAAAAAATATCTCCTTAAGAACAATATTCAGTTCGTAATTACACCAGATAGTAGTAAAAACTCTGATAGTACCCAATTACAATTGTCATGATTTCCTGTAAAAGACGAATATGTTTACAACTTAAAAAATTCTTGTATCTGATATTGGTCGGATACATTAATATGAAAAAATTAATATTTTACAATTGAATTTTCCTAAAATTCCTAGTATTTTGAGAAATTATATTGCTTTAATTGGTAATATGAAGTATTTGCTCTCCAACGGAATAAATACATCCTATAACGATTTTGGTCTGTATGAGGTTAACATGAAATTAAGAAATGTCCACTTGTTCAACACAGCTAGAAACAGAAGCTCAAAAACAGGCAGAGTACATGGCGTTAACCGGAACATTCCTGCATGGTGCGTATTCCGCCGATAATTTGGCTAGGATTCCATGCGATTCCGAAATCAAACAACGATTCCCAACAGAACCCACGATTCCAGGGGCTGTTTTCCGGTGGACTTTTGAATTGCCGTTCCGCTGTAAAAATCTAGCCGTTAATCAGTCCGTTTTAGTGGGGGATTCAATCGCCAGTTTTTCCAGAATGGTATGGAAGGCCACAGAGCAGGTGGGATTTGGCGCCTCGGTCACAGCAGATGGATACATCATCGTTGTGGCCAAGTATTTTCCACCGGCCGGAAAAGGTCCCGATGTCACCGTAAGAAACGTCCATTGTGAGATTGTCGAGTAATTTTATTAATGTTTATGCATGTTTAGAAAACTGTCTCGGGTAATGTTTGATGCCAAAATTTACATATGTAGTTGCAATTAATTAAGTATGTATATATGAATATAAATAAGAAGTAAAAGAAATATGTGTCTGTGAATATATTTATATGTACATAAGTAGTATCTGACTGGAAATAATCTCATCTCCGACGTCTCATATTGCTAACACTTGAATACCTCCATATGTATTAAGTCCTATGCAGTAATGCAAAATCATATGTAATTAAAGTTAAAATTCTGATAATTATGTACTATTTACAAAATTTGTAATGAATGTACTTTGATATATAAGGGTTCACATAGGTAGCTGGAGGATTGCTGAACCCTGAGATGGTTCAAACTTGCATATTTGAGCTGACTTCCATATAAGAATGCAAAGATGATCCTAAGCGTCTACATACATAGTGTCGAATTTTTATAACCTGTCACCTCATTTGCATATTTTGACACATTCGCAAGTTTACCCAAAATGCCCGCATCGCCGAAAATGGACATAGTGAGATTTATGCAAATGAGGTGCCAAGCCTAAATACGCGGATAGTACATATTAGATAATATGAAAACGTAAAAAATTTAAAATTAAAATTGTTACGAATTTTGATTAAGTATTTCCTGTAAAATGCCTGTATGCAGTGCAGCCGGGGTCGCTGGGCAGAATTTTTAAGTCTGCAAGAGAATTTTATGTCAATTAAATAAGTTAGCAAACAAACAATATATGCTGTTCATTCGCAAACTTACTCCAATCAATTAAATAAATATGTTACTATGTACATGTGTACGTCCTGCACAGATTGTGTGAAACCACAACCTTGTTTACCATTGTGTTATCTTAACAAAAAAATTATTAGCCACATTTTACTGTAAATTATTTACATATTCAAGTACAACATATGTGCATACATAGGTACCACAACAAACGTAGCTTCATTATTGATTTTAGGGTGAATTTTTACGTATACAGATATTACCTGTGTTCATTTAGTGGGTACAGAGATACTTCTTTTACAATTAAAAAAATCAAACTCCATATACGTACAACGCCACATACGAAAAAGCTCACAATTCAAATATCCAGACACAACATCTGCCAGAATGTACAACTCACGAATGTACCTTTACCACCCTGATTTCATTCTAGTAAACAATTCTAGTTCATCACAAACCAATACATTTAATTGAATTTAATGAATGACATCTATCCAAAAACAGTATAAAACTCGGGCAAATTCAATATACGGGCATAATTACACACAAAATTGTCCAGAACGTCATCATGTCAACAATTTTACTCTCTGTCGCCTTACTCGCCTTGATTGGATGCAGTTGTGCCACGACACCACTCATTTTGGAACCCTGCAGCGGTGCAAAGCCCGGAATTCCTGCGGACATTGTTGCCCAACGAGGGGCTGCCTTATTCTATGGGAACGAGTACAGAAGGAGACATGGCGCAAAACCACTCACTGTGGACCCCACCGTAAGACTAAAATTGTATTTAACCTCATTGTGACCAAGGTTTTTAAAAAATCTCAGTTCGTAATTAAATACACCTGAGAGGAACGACTGAAAATTTTCATGATTTCGTGTAAAACACGAATTTTTATTTAAACCAAATATGTATCCCATTTTTGAGTTGTTTTTACGAGAAACACAATTTTATGAAATTACTTGATATAGGAAAAATTCAATAATGTGAGAAGGAACATATAAATAACTAGGACAATTTATTAAATTTTCCTACACAATTCCAAAGAAATACTGGTACATATTTTGACCAATTATTCATATTGTTTCGATTGGAAGTGTATTGAAATACGTACATACATTGCAAATTTAGCCAAAATATGGTTAACAAGTACACAAGAAATTTTAAAAATTGTGCTTATCCATGCATGTATTCACCACAGCTTAAAGCGGAAGCTCAAAAAGAGGCGGAGTACATGGCTCGGACAGGAATAATGAGGTTTAGTGCGTATTCTACCGGAAACTTGGCCCGTTTTCCTTGCGATTCCGGAATCAAAACAATGTACCCAATAGAACCCACAATTCCAGGGGCTGTTTTCTGGTGGACTTTCGAATTGCCGTTCCACTGTAGAAATCTAGCCGTTAATGAGTCCATTATTGTGGTGGATTCAATCGCTAGTTTTTCCAGAATGGTATGGAAGGGCTCAGAGAAGGTGGGATACGGCGCTGCGGTCAGTGCCGATGGTTATATCTACGTCGTGGCAAAGTATTCTCCACCAGCCAGTAAAGATCCAGATGCAACTCTGAAAAACGTCCAGTGTGTCCCATAATTGGATACTCCGGAAAGAAAAGGACTTCAATATGTTTTACCACAGAAGAAAAATTTAATAACTTAATAACCAACAACATAAGTAAATAAGTACATACGTAGTATCTGATTGGGAATAAAGCTTTTTGCAAAATAAATGTGGTTGATTACATAATATGTATGAGAAATATAATTTCTCATTGCATGACTCCCTTCTCCCGATTCACACAGAGTTGAACGTTTTGCGGATCTTTGCCCTCCATTAAAAGCTACCCATGAAATGCTACCCATTATATGCTGCCCGTGATGATCTGCTACCCATGAAATGCTACCCATTATATGCTACCCGAGATGATCTGCCCCCCATTATATCCTACCCGACCCATTTTCACTTTCTTCTTGCAAATTAAACCAAAATGGGTACCCCGTTTTGCGTCGTAGTGCAACATAAGAGTTACTGTTTATTTATGCAAAGTTAGTCAAATAATAAATTCTCAAAAAACTAATCAATATATAAAATCTCTTAAAATCAGTGGAACAACGAATTTATTATTTGACTGATTTTACGAGATTTTACATAGTCTCAACTTAAAAAGTGATAGTAGAGCAGACGACTATATTAGGTTAGTTTTTAGGAATACGTCAGAAATTAATTGACAAACTGTATCATTCCCGAGTCAGAAATTTATAAGATGACATTTTGAACAGGTTCCAATTGAGCTGAAATTTGGTACAGAGGTTGTTAATGGGTCCTAATGGAAGAATATGAATTGAAATTCAACATATTTTCACCTGAACAGACACTATAGGGTGACCCATACCAATTTTTCAAATTCGTCAAATCGAGCTGAAATTTGATAGACAAGTTGGTAACAGCTCTCAATGAAACAATATGAAGTAAAATAAGAAAAAAATTCATCTGAAGGACCTTAATGGGCGACCCATACCGATTTTTTGAAATTCTCTTATCGAGCTGAATTTGTTAAATAGCCTGGCAATCATTATAAATAAGTCGGATTGAGTGAAAATATGTGTGTACCAACAAAAGTATAACCTAGCCACCCGCGTGGTTGGAATTTATTACTTATGTTACGTCGAATATTAGTAGGATAATATTCTGAGAGTTTTAGGAAAATCTATTCGCTTGTTAAAAAGTTATGGTCATGGTCAATACTGGTGACCAGTGGATATCACTATATCTTTTAATATGTTCATGTGCATTTACGATAAAATTTCATGCAAAAAAGTCGAATGAGAGTGATAATCACAACTAGGCCTGACTCGGGCTATATCAAGTCGATTTGCAAGAAGAAAGTGAAAATGGGTCGGGTAGGATATAATGGGGGGCAGATCATCTCGGGTAGCATATAATGGGTAGCATTTCATGGGTAGCAGATCATCACGGGTAGCACATAATGGGTAGCATATAATGGGTAGCTTTTAATAGGGGGCAAAGATCCGCACAATTGGTGTGCGGATCTTTGCCCCCATTTACAAAACGTGAGACTTCTACGGCACTGCCAGTCTAAAAGTCTATAGTTTTTTTATTATTCTTCATTTCTGTAATAGTTCAACACTCTGTGGCTGGAAACTATGTATGAAAATACTTATGTGTGGTCCTTTATTACTCAGCATTAAATTAGATATACCTGTCCATAAAAACTTTTAAAACAATAATACCAAGCTATTGCTACTACAAACATATATTCACGGTATTACTGATCGATACCACTTTTATTAGAGTCATGCATACATACATACATACGTGCAACCATCTTGGTGTTACTTTAATTCCGGTTTTTTAAGCGTGCACAAACACATCAGATTACAAGGAAGTTTTATACATCAGGGGCCTGTTGCATAAACATGTCACAATGACAGTTGACAGGGCGACAATTACAGGGCGACAGTGACAATTACAATTTATAGCTGTTGCATATAAAATTCATTGACAATTTGACAAGTGCTGGACCTCTGTCAAAGTTTGACAGGTGCCTGTCATCATCTCCCATAACAACTTAAAAAATTTGTGAATATTTCAACCATAAATTATGGTCCATAATAATTACAAGTAACTTCCCACCGTCGGGTCCACTACATTTTCGTACACCTTTGGCGATAATTGTCTTACTTTTTCACCAAGCTACCACCGGTAACTGTTGTGCATGTATGTAGAGTATTCCGACCCAGGCTTTTATTGGGTTGCGTTTGTGGGTTTTAATGAGTAAATCCCATTGAGTTTGACCATGTTCAATGGGTTTTATTAGGGCTTAACTGGGTTTTACGTTAAAACTATATCCTAAAAGTTTAAAACATCTCTCCTACGTTAAACAAAATTATTTCACGGCAGCTAAGCAGTTTATTTCGTTAATGTTATAACCTTTGAAAACCCGAAATAAATAAGACAATGCATCATCTTGTTAGGTATATGTATGCCTACGTAGATATGTATATGTAATTAGTTATGAATCTGTACATCACTCCAGCTTTAACTCTCTTCCAATAAATACTCTCCTCTGTCTCCTCTCACTGTGTACCACTTATTTATGTATAATCATATATACATAACATTGGTGGACCGTCGAGTACTTTCTTTCTCTCCTCCCACTCAAAATGGATTTTAAAATTTTCAAAATTCTTCCGACGACTAAGCAGCTTGACCAACGCCCCTTAGAGCATTGTCATTTTGCTTCCGATAGGGAAACTTCCCAAATCTCTCTTCTCAAAACCTTGTGTAAACTGTGTGATTTTCCTGTGAAACTTTTTTGTGAATTTTCGTCATCTGGTCTGTAAATTGGATTATCCTCCCGGATGCTATCAGGTCTGTAAATTGGTTCTAAACCACCCTGAAAATCTTCCCCCATTCTTAAAATTTCCAAATCTCCAGTCCAAAATTTACATTTCATAATTCGAGCAAATATGCAAAATTTAAAATTCCGTTATTTGTTTTAAACAAGTCAAAAAAATATATGCAAAATTGTCCTTCAAAATTGTTAAAAAATCGTAAAAATATTGTTAAAAAATTCCGTTTAAATTCTGAAAAATTGTCATCAAAATTCGTTCAAAATTTGTCAAAATTTCTGCATATTATATGAAAAAACAGTCATTTTTATTCATTTCGTCTGGAAAATTGTCCCAATTTTTTATCAAATGTTGTTGCAAAAATGTAATCTGATTCACTTTGTCTCAAAATTCTGCTGAACTTTTGTGCTCGATCTGCGTTGTCACTACTTTCCCAGGCTCAGAATGAAATATAACGCCTTGAGATTAATGTTTGTAATGAGCAACGTCTACATATTATTTGCGTGTTCAAGTATGGAAATCCACATTGTACATAGTTCCCCTTTTTTAACGAGTCACGGTTATGGGTCACCCAGACAAAACCCTGCGTCTTCGAGTTGTCCGGTTATGGGTCACCCCGACAAAACCCTTACAAGTCTGCGTATTTATGTATCTCCGATGTCCCGATGGACCACATACCACGACCACAAAAATGTATTTTTCTTTGTTCATCGTTTTGTCCCAATCTGCAAGTTTTATATGAGTCAACCACCACCACAACGCCTGAGATGACACAATTCCACCACCGATTGCGAGCCATACCATCTTCTCAAGTTCCAGCCCTGCAAAATTACTGCGTTATTCGATATGTGTATTACATTGTTCAATGTTATTCATGCAAAATCTTTGTTCATGTTTGTTTTCCGGAGTCATTTCATATTTCATTTTTCCATGAATTTTTCCTATGTATGTCCCAAACCATCTAAATTTCTACTTCAAATTGTGACTACTGAAATTTTTAGTTTGCAAACCTACACACTCTTTCAGACTATTTTTCAGGAGAAAAATTTTTTCGTGAGAGGGTAGTGTTAGGTATATGTATGCCTACGTAGATATGTATATGTAATTAGTTATGAATCTGTACATCACTCCATCTTTAACTCTCCACTAATAAATACTCTCCTCTATCTCTTCTCACTGTGTACCACTTATTTATGTATAATCATATATACATAACAATCTTTTACCATCACAGGTTGCATGTGATGAAAAAATAATAATTTAGGAACTTATACAAATTCTAACATGTACAAGGCGGATTTGTATGTGACTGAAATTGAATTTGCAATAGTTTCGAGAAAAATGTATTGATTTTTTTAGACCCATGGATCGTTCCTTTTTGATTAACATGCATGTCACTGGAGGAGCACGTCTTTTTGCTCCTCTTAAAAATGAATATTAAATCGTATTGTGCATGTCGTCGGAAGCCTACGTTCCACACAAGCCCTTCTTGTGATCACCATTCTAGTACCTCAGCTGGCGAGGCATCAATAAATAGTAATTCAGATAAACGGTTGAAGGTTATACAATCCCCAATCGAGAGATGAAGATTCTTTGAAAAATAATTAAACGTGGTAGACTTGAAGTTGAACTCATAATGCTTTGATTTGAGCTTGGAAATTGTGTTTGAGATTTTACAAGAGTCGTACTCTTGTATTTTCGGCTATAAAACCCTCGACGTCACCATTTCAATGCCATTATTTGTAGAGTTATCCTCGAAGATACCTTTCAATAGACACGCATGATAAAATTCACTTTTCGACTTTTGACCTCGTCCGCACGGTCACAGGGTCATTGTACGCCGAAATGAGTCGATGTATGTACATATTCATCTACTTTTTTAATTAATTGGTCAATAGTTTTAGCTCAAAATTATTAAGGTGTAACTTTAATTTTTGGATAATTTTGTTAAGTGAAAAAAATACTTTTATTATCTTGGGCTCAGGGCGATTTCGGAAATCTCCACCCCAAACTATTTCTAAAATGATCTCAACAAAAAATTCAACATTTTTAAATTTGGCGTCGCCTACACGGTCACGCGGTCATCGTATGTCAAAACCATGTCGATTTCTGAAATCCTCGCCCCAAACTATGTCTTAAACGGTTGTTTAATTTAACTAGAAAGTATGGTTGACCTTGATTTATTAAGAATCTTAACGACGAAATCAAATTCGACAGGTGAAAATATCTGTGTCAACTTTTAAATACAATTTGACAATTTGTTGTCAAATTGAGTTTTATGCAACAAGCTTTTGATTTTTTCTTGACAATGATATGTCATGACAGTAAAAAAATTCCTGTCACTGTAAATTGCCAATGAAAATTTTATGCAACCGAAAATCATGACAATTTTGAAAATTGTCACGACATTTCGACAAGTTGTCGCGTTGTCATGTTTATGCAACGAGCCCCAGGTATGTTTTATTACTGAATGGTTGATCCTTGATTTTAACCTGCCCTTGAGTTGTGTTAAGGGTTGCTAACCCTTCTTTTAAATCTGGACCTGGTTCACCTTCACTCTCAGTCTTCCCTGATGGACCCTATCTCTCCCCATGTTGAAAAGAGAGGCTCTTCGTCTTGCATGTATGGAAATAGACAGCCAAGAAAACAACGACCGACCTTGTGGGCCTTGTATAAAGGATGTGACCAATTTTCGGGGAATTTTGACCCATGCCCCATCGGCAAGACCTACAAAAAGTGAGTCCATGCCAAAATTTAAGCTTATTGTTTCCACAGTTCCATCGATACCAAACAAATGTAACAGATGAAATTTACAGGAAATTTATCAGGGAAATATGTATGTATGTATGACGACCGTTTTTTTTAATCTCGAAAGCGGAAACAAAGAATCATGGGGTGCAACGCGAAATTTGCGAATTTCAGCTATTGATACTGTTCATGATTTTTGACTCCAGAATTATATTTTCAAACTTTTTGCACCATTTTCATTTCCTATTTGATTTAGTACCTGTCAGGAGTTAATTTGAAAACTATAAATTGTCAAATACTTTGTATATGCCCTAAGTTATCAAAATGGAAAGGATATGATTCCTTAACCTCTACCCACATACAAATCGATCACATTCTTGTTGCACAGTCCCTTGGAAAAATGACACAACACCTGTCAAAATCAAGGGATACCATGCAATGCCAAAGTACCCAGTTATTTTACCTCCAGTTCTACCTGTTCTCGAAATGCGTATACTTCTCCAAAATGCAAATCCGTATAAAAGAGGAAGCAAATCTTGTCCAGAGCATCACAAGTCAATCTTCTCTCACAAGCCCAACCTAACCCAACTACTCCTCATCATGAAATTGGTAAGGTTAAAAAAAATATTTCGAAAATTTTGAGACTATTTTTCCATAAATTTTCATAAATTTTCTTACCAAATTTTTACAGTTTGTCTTCCTCACCGTCTGCATCGCCAGTACCTGCGCCGCCAGCTATGGTGGGTACTCCACCCCCGAAATCAGGGTCACGAGCTATGACGCCCCCGCCGTCAAGACTGCTTCTTACTCGAGCTACGCCGCCCCAGAGGTCAAAATGGCGTCGTACTCGACCTATGCTGCCCCCGAACTGAAGAAGGCGCCCATTCCCATCGTCCGATTCAACTTGAATGACGACAACTACGGAACTTTCGCGTTCGACCACCTTTCCGGCGATGGGACCTCGGTCAGCGAGGAAGGTCACCTTAAGAGCCTGCCCGGAGATTTGGAGGGGCCAGTTTCCGTGATGAGTGGAGCCTACAGCTTCCTTGGGGATGACGGTGTCACCTACAAGGTCACGTGGACGGCTGATGGTAAAAGACTAAATTTTACTCTTCTTTACGTAACAATAGAGGTGTCTCAGCCGATGCTCTCTGATTTTGACAGAATTACAAGTACAAACTTAATTAATACGAAATTTTAAAAAGATGCAAAGTCACAATAATCAAGTTTGACAGATATACTTGCATCATAAGAGGAGAAAATTCACAGTCAATTTAAAAAGTGTCAGAATTTATCAACGTTTAAAGCGCGTTTTGTCCTCCTCTGATGAAAATATCTAATTGCAAATATGCAAATATTTCATACTAATTGCATGTGTGATCGATTAATACTAATTTGCTCAAAATCTGAGGGCAAACGCTGGGCGAGCCCCCTTGTCAGTTTTTTTCGCATACGACCTTTCTTACAGATTCTGTACAATATCTCATGCCAATATTATTTTTCAGAAAATGGATTCCGCGCCGTCGGTGACCACCTCCCCACCCCACCTCCCGTCCCAGTGGAGCTTATCCGAGCTCACGCCGAGGCTGCTGCTTACCCATCGTATGAGGCCCCTTTGATCAGAAGCAGCTATTCCGGCTATGAAGCCCCAATTGTCAGATCGTCCTACTCCGCCCCTGCCATCCGAATCGTCTCATCCGGATATTAATCGCTGATGCCTTACACCTGAACGGATCTGCTGGTCAGATCATCATTTCCGTAAACGAACGTGATATTGTACACCCTGAAAAATTCTTGTTAATAAAAAAAATAAAAAATATATGCATTAAAAATCTAAACTTTTTGTGAAATGAATTTGATTTCTCATATCTTGCGAATTTTCACCAGTTAATTATGCACATATGTATGTATGTATGTACGTACTAGTGACGAATCATGTACATATATGAATAGTGTCCTTTCTCATATTTTGCACCAACCACATGGGGACTGGGGGGATGGGTGGTAGTGGTCAAGGCATCCTATACTTGCCATGTTAATCACAACATTGGGCACATATTTAGATCACACCGGGGGGGAAGGGATCAAAATTCCCAGTAAACCGATCACATGCTTTATGTACGGCTCCGTACACATTGACCAAGTTATTTTGCATCATTCTAACGCCTTCACGATACATACCATTTACTTTCACAGACTTACTTTAAGTACTCACCATGTAAGCTAAACGGTGTAAAAGTGTTTGGACGTATGTGTGTATGTATGTACCTATATCTTAAAAATGCCTTAACGCAGCAGGGTATTTTTAATCAAGTATGTAAAACGCACCAAACCCGCATGATATTGAAACTTTACATAAGGGATCTAGCGTTTGAGTCTAATCCACCATACGGTCATTAAATATAAAAATGTATGCAAGCAAGTAGATCTTTCTAGTAGAAAATTGGGCAACATATGTTAGTCGAGTTCGAACGGCAGAATTAATAATTAAGGTTACTACTTACAATCATGTCTGGAGTGATGTTAGCACGTATTTATGTAAATATTTACACATGGATGTGTACAAATATTTACATATACAGGTAGGCGTAATCATACACCAGTATACGTATTTCAATAACTGTACTTTTAGTACATACTCGACACCTTACATACTTCCAGTTTTTTTTGGCTGAACTTTAGTTCAGATTTATGAAAATTTAGGATAAATTACAAAACTTGTGTAGATATCACGTCAAATGCGTCACATCGGTGAGTAATAGATACGGAATTAGCCTTTGAAAAAAATGATCATATTTATGTATGTACCTATGGGGATTTGAAGGTACGCGATAGGGCAGAATTCACATATTCGGGCATTGCATGATGCAATTTGCATCTGTCACAATGTATGTATGTATGTACAAACGAATGTATCACGTCAATCATATATGAATAAGTTAGCAAACAATATTTACCACATTCCAAACCACAATGTACTCCATTCCAATTGATGCATGTACATATTTATTTACTTACAGACCCTTTTTTTTATAAACTAGAATGACGTCTTTCTAAAAATCGTATAAACTCCAGCAAAATTCCCTACTTTTACTATAACTATTTACAATTCGTCTCGTGAACTTCATCATGACATCAATTCTACTCCCAGTCGCCTTTCTTGCCTTGGTGGAATGCAGTTGTGCCATACAACCATTGATTCTGAAAGTCTGCAACAGTACGAAGCTCGGCATTCCGGCGGACATTGTGGCCCAACGAGGGGCTGCCTTAGCCTATGGGAACGAGTACCGAAGACGACATGGCGCCAAACCACTCACCGTGGACCTCGCTGTAAGACTACAATTTCCCTTGTAAAGTACACTCTTAGAAATACAGTATTAACATAATACCACGCGGTATTGTAAAGTAGTACAGTGTATTTGGTATTAGCTTGGCGTTGGCACCGTTCATAAATTATGTAACGCGCGAGGGGGAGGGACGGAGGGGTCTACATTAGGCTTGAATGAGGTCTTTGTCTCGGCGATTTTTGCATTACATAATTTGTGGACGGCCCTATAGCAAATTTTAATAGACCGGAATAATTTGTATGCCAAACTATAGCAAAAATTCAGATAATACCAAGAATTCAATACCTGCCTGGCCTGACTACACTATATTTCTCACAGTGTACCTAAAAAATAACAAATATATATTTCCACATGTTTACCACAGCTTGAAGAAGAAGCTCAAAAACGGGCCGAGTACATGGCTTCTACCGGATCATTCATAAGCAGTATCTGGGATACAGACAATATCGCCAGGATTCCTTGCGACAGCGAAATCCCACAAATGTATCCAACCGAACCTACAATTCCAGGGGCGATTTTCCGTTGGAATTATCAAACGAAGCGATTCCGCTGTTCTTATCCCATTTTTACGAGAACAGTTTGGAAGGCTACTGAGAAGGTGGGATACGGCGCTGCGGTCGCGTCTGATGGACATATCATCGTTGTCGCAGTATATTCTCCACCAGCTAGCGGAGATCCTGCCGCAATGTTGGAAAACGTTCAGTGTGAAGAAGTCCCATAATTTAATTATTTATTGTGAAATGCAAAAAAATTATGAGATGTGTTTGTGGAAAATTTTAAATTGGCAAAAATTCAGGAAGTAGTTGTAATTTCTAAATGTGTATGAATTATCTGAGTGTGAATAAATCTTATGCAAGCAACCGAATTTTAGATTATGTTTTATTTAACTCAAAAATTAACTGGACATATTTGCACGCAAAAAATGTTTATTGATTTCCGAATTGATTGTAAAAAGTTGATTCCAAATTGGAACTAGTTAATATATCTAATTCGAGCATATGTATCATTGTAATATCAGTGTCATAACCTTTAACGGTTTACATATGTATCTACGTACTTATATCTCCAAGAATTTAAATAGATTTTACTAGCATTCGTGCGTTCTTTTAGTAACCTTATTTGTCGGTTTTGATTTTACACAAACGAGTATACCAAAATGATTGATTACGAATTATTTATTTATGAGCAATAAAAAAGTTTACGAATTGCATATCAAAATTGTTGGGTCCAAAGAATATGCATATTACATACATATGTGTACGCTCTAAATAAAGGTATGTAAAATTTATCCAATGCGGAGAAAAAAACGGATAACACAATAATTCAGTAAAATTGAGCCAACTTTGTGTCAAATTTTTTGATAAATTTGACGCAACGTGAGATAATTTTTACCCAATTCTTGTGTCATCGCCCTTTTTCCAAACTTTGGGTAAGTTTACACAAGTTTATTTGATGGTTAGAGTTATTTTGCAACCAAAGTGATATATTTACATATGTATGTAATCGTACCCACTACCACATCATAAAAATTTATTTTAAGGATTTCAACAAAGCAAAGATCCAATTAACCATCTCCAGTATCTTATCAAATTCCAAATCGTTAATCCCATGCTCGGATAACATCCTAGATTTCATTTGAATCAATCCATTTTGTCCAAACTCTCCTTCAAAACATTCCATTCGAAATCCGCCTGCAACATAGCTTTCAAATCGTACCGAAATCTACTCCAAGTGAAATCATGATCTTCCAAACCCTTTAGATATCGAATGTCTCCGATTGCGTCCTGTGAAAGCTCTGGATTAGTAAGCAACCTTAGAATTGATCTGTCAATCCCTAATTGTAATACGTGGCTATGAATCAAAAGAAAGACACATTCTATTGTATCCATCGTCGTAGGAATTACACATAAGGAAGTTATGCATATAATCAGACAAACTATCTCAGTTGTGTCGTTCCAATTAATAAATGAATTAATTGCAAAACTGAAGAAATATTTTAGTGAATTCTCCCTTCTAACGATTTCATACACACATTCTGTTATGAACTCATCAAACCCTCCGACAGATATTTGTGGGAGGGTACCATTCCTTAATGCAGTCAATAATATTTCATCGTTTTGAATGTGTTGGTTTAGAAAAAGACGAACAAGTCGGGCTCCCGTTTCAAACAAGGCTCGTCTAGAAACTGGGAACAATTTCTTTATAAATTTCAGTAATTCATGTTCATTGTCACTGTTCGAATCACCAGCCAAATTCAACAGTTCTAGGAAACAATTGTAAATATGGTTGGCTACGTAATATTCAGCAATGGATCGATGGAGAAAGTCCGGCTTTCCACACATACTGACGACAATTCCCACCCTGTAAATTTCGATCGGGAAGTTTGGATTTCGTTTCTCTCTGCACAACTCCCACATAAGTGTCTCAAATTCTTGGCCCAACCCGAGGACTTCTCCAGCAATAAATTCCTGTTCTCTTTCAAACTTGTATGTTAACACAGGCTTCAAATCTTGCCAGTGACCATTTCCATCCTGCCAGCCCATCTTGTTGAAAAAGATTTTGTATTTTGTATCTATAAAGCGATCAAGTAGAAATCTCAGGCCGTATTCTGAAGGTATGTAATTTTCTATTACTCCATTTCCACTGCAAAACTCAAGCGCCGATTCCTCGAAAGAGACGCTGAGCATTTTCAAATGAAGTGGAATACCTAAAAACAGACGATCGACTACATTTAGGTCAACTTTTGACAATAGTGCCGTTGAGAACTGGGCAAGTCGATCTTGGTGCTCTATTTCCCGAATTGACCCACTCCAAATATTATTTAGAAATGTTTGGATATTTAGTTTCTCGATAGGTAGTAAATGGTGAGACAAAACGCCAAGCGAAGTCTCAATGGCAATAGCGTCTCTCTGACGGGTCGACACGGATATACCAATTTTAGTAAATTTTGTCAGGAACTTGAGAACTTTACAAAACTTTTGCTTATGCTCGTTTGGCAGTTCGTCGAATCCATCCAGAATCATAATTATTTTTGCCGAGTTTTGCTTCAGTACGTTTCTAAAGAGAAGAGAGCGTAAAGGGTCTAGACTGAGATTATAGATAAGGAAGGAACAAATTCTTTCAATGTTCAAATCTAAATCTTTGGTTTTTCCATTGGTAAGCAAATGGAAAGCAGACAGTTCCCTCAACTCAAGAAAGAAGACCCACTTCCATGTAATATTGTTTTTTAATATATTGCTGGCAAATTTAGTCATGAAAAAGCTCTTACCCATACCTGGGTTATCTGAGAAACAGTATAAGACCCTCCCCTCTTCACCTGTGTTCAACACATTCTCTTTGAATACTTCTTTCGCCGCGTAATCAAGACATTTGCCAACTCCATTAGAGGATTTAAAAGTAACCCTGCATTCTCCACTCATGGTCGGCCTAAATTCAATTGTTTCCAAGTCTTCATCTGCCACCCCAAAGCATTTCCGCAGAAACTCTTCTTTATCGGCTTCCTTGACTTTTGAACAGCTTAATTCAAGAACTTCGATATCAGTTCCTGCATCTGCGCGTTTCTCAAAAATAGCAGACATATGATTGGCAAGTGTTCTCATATCAATTGCAGGGGGTATGACCTTTCTTGACATGTACAAATTTGGATTATAGTGCAATTTCCACTCGAGCGTATGCAAGTTGTACTCGACCAATTCAAAAACAGAGTCTGGAGCTTCACCAACAAGTTGCTGAAAATATTTGACTGGATCAATCCCCGACTTGACTATTTGATGGGGAAGACCTTCCTTTTCTAAATGTTTAGCCAACCTTTCTCCGGCACCTCCATAAATAACGATTTGGCCTAGTTTGAATCCCACTAAATTTACTTTAAATATCTTTACGGCTTCTTCTACGCTAGCAAAATTTCTGCAAGGTTCCGTATAAATTGTAATATTGTCATGAATTGAAGGTAGTTTAGAACCCAACTCCAATTTTTCTATTGCATTCTTCTGCAGAATCAAATTTAATTTTGCTGGTTCGTTCAGTAAACAATTAAGTAGATCGTTGTAGTTTGACACTGGCCCTACAAGTACGCCAAGTTCAACATTGACCCCATTCAAGCTAACTTTTTGCCTCAAAATTTGTGGAACGGTTGCCGTGCTAATGGACAAGCTAAATTTGTCATTATTGTTATTCGGGTCAATGGTAATATAAACAAGTTGACACTTGCTGGAATTACTGCCTTTTGTTATTTCCGTAATTTCGCCACAATCACTACAGTCCACAAAAATATATTGTAGCTCACTTGGAACCCAGTTCAAACCAGTGATATCCGCAAATTTAAGGATTAAACAGTTTCGCGATGATAGTCCACACTTTCCCTCCGTTATAAACGATGAAACTTTGAAGCAAAATAATTCAAGCAATTGCACACATCTGAATGCATAATGAGATTTCCAAATAGAATTATTAGCGCAATCAAATTCTAAGCTAATGAATTTGTCCTGCAGTTCCTTAATATATCTGGCACTGCTGTAAAGACATTGAGCCGCTTCAAAGTTCCCCAATTGAAGACTTATTTCATTAATTTTTTGTTTCAGGATTCCACAATTTTGTAAAATTGTCAAATCCTCTGTGCTTGAAAATACTAAAAAATTGTTATCACTTTTATCCAGAATTTTCAAAATGCACTCCAATTCTACCAAATTAAATTTTTCTGGCAATTTAACGCTATTACCAAAATAATCCTTCCAAATATTAACTGTTTTCAAAATTTCGATCACTTGTTTCACTTGAGTTCCTAGAGAGTGAGTATTTATCTTTAATGCATGAGAATTTGTTACCACAACTTGCATCCCTGATCTAAAGAAGTCGTCATATTCGGACGCTGCATTTTGAAATATTTTAACTATTGCTGTCCCAACCATACCAAGGGCTTTGGTGACTGGATGACTATGGGTATGCTGACTTGAATCCCAATTTCGAAACACGATTAGCACCCACTGCTCTATTGTTGTGAATCGTGGGTTGGAATTCATTTTGAGCTGTTCAACAAATAGTCCCATTTTATGAGTCTCCTTCGTATAAGTGAGATTAGTAATTGATAAGTAAGTACTAGGTGTAACCAGCTCGACAGACATATCTGGAATCCATGGTAATAAAAATATGTTCCCTATGTGTTGATTAACAACATTTACAGCATTTGGGGAAAACACAAAATTTGAAATATCCAACCCGAAATTTTGTGTTTGTGACTTGAGCCTTCGAAATGGTTTCAGGGAAGTTATCTTATGGATTATCTGGTATGCACCGGGGCTGTCGAATGCCTCACAGTGCGGATGAATATCAAATCGATCTTTTCCTTTGAGTTCAAATATGTCGCGGTCAGACGAAAATTGTAGATATTTCAAAGCAAATGCAGAAATTTGAGATAACCATCCTCCTAGGGAATGTCCGGTTGTAGAAAATTGTACAGATTTGAGGACGGATTCTGTGGTTTCGTCTTGTGGGAAGAAGTTCGCAATAAAATCCAGGACGAATGTGCAACAAGAGTTTATTTGTGGGGTCAGCTTGTTCTTCGCCACTCCGTCTAAATCTGCTTCCAAGTCTTTGCTGCTATCCGTACCTAAATTAATACCAATTTGAAATTATTATTAAAAAATATATTTGGAACTGGTTACAAGTTAGAGGTATTTATGTATTGTTTTCATAATTTGTACCTATTTAGTTTACATAGACCGAATTTAATTTAAAATCTACACTTTTTATACCAATAATTAGTTTTTACCTTTGTGAGCAATGATAATTTGATGGTGACGATTAGAATTTTTGGGTCTATAATACACAGCTCCTCCGTAACCAGTCTTTGCTGATCTTGCACAGCAGAGAAGAACATAGTCGTTTACCCAATCTGGATTATTAGGGCGGATTAAAATGTTATAAAAATTCCAGTACATTCGACAATTTCTTAACACTCACCAGTGTTATCGGAGTCATTTCCATATACCAGGGTGGAAAATCCAGATAGATCCAGAGTACTTGGGTGTAATTGTAGGTTTAGAAATTCTCGGGTAATCTCAGGTTCGACCAAGCACATCCGCAGACTTTGGCTAATTTTTCCATAATCTGCATTGGAATCAACGATTAATCCCTTGTCTCGTTCAAGCGTGACCATGATTAATTCCTTGGTTACGGAGGGAAATTGGAGTTACAAATATTTGCACTGGAGGAATTACAGAAAATTACTCCAATTTAAACATATTTATGTCAATCAATTAGATATTGGACACACTCACCACAAATAAGGAAAGTGTCCTCTGCGGTTGAGTTTGGTTAAAATATCAAAGAAAACCTGACCCTATCAATCAATTACGGTTACGTTAGAAGTATGTACATACATAATAAACCTTCGTGTAATTGATAAAATCAATTTTTATGTTATTTTATCAAATTACACACATTAAGATTTTTCTAATTCATCTTCGGACTTTGTGGAAGGGTGGGTGAACCAAAAGGAAAGACGAAAATCTAAAAAACAAACCAATTTTATACAAAGACATACATTTTAAATCATTAATTACATACATATTTACGCAAATGTCTCGTAATGTTTATTATTTTGTTGGTTACTGAGATAGTAAAATTCGCTAAAACCACTAAGCTGTATTAATAAGTTTAAACCTTAAATTAACACATCAATCTAAACCATTTCCGTTAAAGGATAAGATATTCCTGGTATTTTGTTGCGCTTGTGGTCTCTGTGTTTTTATTGCCACAAAACAAATTACGTAAGTTGAGTAGGAATTCTATTTGTCGGAATGCATGCGTACTTTAATTTTATATATTTTATTCCAAAAAGTATCACTTTCATCCAAAAATCCCAACATAAGGATTTCAATTCGGTGTTTTGTAAAAATCAAAATTCCCATTGTCCCCAAACCAAAAACTGAATTTCCGAAAACAAACTAAACAATAGCAACCCTGCGTACATATCTGTTTAGTACCATATTTCCGATAATTGATAACTTTACATTTCTATACATAAAGTAAAAGTGTGCAAATGCATGTGAATTTAGGCTTTTTGATTTGCACACTTTGCAAAAAATACGTATCTACGTGAGTACATGAAACTAACTTACGCTCACAATACAAAAGTATTGGTTCCCATAATTTTGCATTCAATATCAATGCAAAATTAAATTAAATTTGACTGAAGCTTAAAACGCCACACAGTTAGAATAATACATTGAATTGCAACTTCTGTATCACAGCTTTAACTAAATAAATTACATTATCTTAGAAAATACGTATGTACGTAGATAAATTATTTGTGAAGAACTAAGATTGAGTTAAACTGCTGCTGGTCAAGAAGACCAAGTTTGACTGAATCTTTTTCCACTTCGTTTCTACTTCCACAAAATACTTACTTGATAATCATTAGCAAAAAAAGAGTTATGTAGCATCATGACATCACCTCGCGATGCATTCTCAGTTACATACGTGCAGGGTTTCTTCGCATCTCCTCTGCTTCACAATGCATGCAAAAGCCAAATCTGAAATTAACCTCGTCGTAATTTTTTTCGTAAAGAATACTAAAAAACAATACTTTTTTGTCATTTATTACATATTTTCCCAAAAATGATTGTGTGACCTGCTACAAAAAAACTCAAAATATTGCTAGGTTACATGTACATAAAATAGTAATATTTTGAGTTTTGTTGCAGGTCACACAATCATTTTTGGGAAAAAAGTAAAGCATAAAAAACTAATATTTTTTTATATTCTTTACGAAAAAAATCACGAGGAGGTTAATTTCAGGTATGGCTTTAGCATGTATTGTGAAGCGTAAGCGGTCCGAACAAACTCCAAGAAACCCTGACAACGTGTTGCATAAGAACGTTGAGTCAGCTCACTTCCAAAAATTGCATGATAAACCAGCATCTTGCCGTCCTTTGTTCATCAATAATTTGAGCCAACGTTTTAATGAATGTGTACAAACAGACGAGTTCTACAGATAAATGCTACCTTAAACTTCCTGGCAGTTAGATGAACGACTATGTAAAGTGGTCCGAGGAATGAATCATTCCGAATGATTACTCATAATTATGTAAGTAAAATCAAATTTGTTGCGTAGATATGTATGCACATTGGGTTAATAAACGCACGTTATAAAATTATTTGATACTAAATTTTTTTCAAATATGCTAACAAATGTAAACCGTTAAGTGGGAAAATTTTGCTAAATTTAGCTAACGAGTTTAGGTAACAATTATTAAATAGTTATGTATGCTATCACAATGCTTATGCACTGTTAAAAATCTGGTAGAGTCACATAGATACTCCGTGTTGGTATTGGTTTGGTAATAATTTCCTTCCGGATTGGTAGTAAATTGTTTCTTAGTGGTAAATTTTTCATTACGACGACATTACTGAACGGTAATTCCCGTTAATACCAGTGCCGGTAGAGTCACATATGTACTCCTGGTCGGTAATGATGTAATACCAGTTTTCTAAGAGTGTAGGAATAGATCTTGATGGGTTCACTCTTAATGCGAAGCGACTATATATGACTCCACCAAAGTGGTATTAACAAGTAAATATTTTTAACATGTAGTAAAATTTTATCGTTTCGGTATGAAATTTTTGCGGACCGGTATAACAATTTTAAGACCAAGCGGTAGCAGCTTTAATACCGAGAAATCAACCTGCCTGCCTTTATGTGCCTGCATCTGTTAATTAATTATGTATGTAAATATATGCGACAGATGCGGACGGAAAGTTGCTCAATTTTCCTGGAAAAAATTCATCCACAAAGGAAAAAAAAGACGTAAATGGATGATGTCAGTGAGGGGTTTTAAATGTATTTACTTGGAATAATAACAATTTAAATGTTAACATAAATAGAAAATTTCCATTTAAAAAGGGTAGTAAATATTGTAGTCAACAATACCATACTTTTCTGCTCAAATTAATTTTCTAGAAACAGGTAATAAATTTCCCGATCTTGGAAATCACACAAACAAATTATATACTAATATTTTTATTTATGTACCTGGTAATATTAGTCGTATAAAAATCAACTGAAGATGGAATTAAGGTCGTTCTCGTCACGATGCAGTAAGTGATTCGTTTTACATTTCAAATTTGGTTTTAAAAAGCAGTATTTCTATTATAAAATATATGACAATTTTTTATTAAATATGTATAAGTAATTTTATATTTCATATCATCTACAGACATTTAATTTATATTTTGATCAGTCATCTCTACGGTATTCGGGGATTATTGCCTGATTTTATTTTCAATAACTGTTAGCTTCCTATGAACCACTGTCATCTTCAAGTAAGAATAATTGATATTTAATTCCAGTCCCGAAATCTGAGAGGGACAACGACTCGCTAGACAATAACACTGCCACAACGAAAGTTTTCAGGAATCCGTTGGTAAGTCACTCAAAAACTGAGTCAAAATGGACCTCCTAATTTTGGAAAAATATCGTAGACATGATTATTGGCGGTGCAAATATGCAAACAATTTGCGTTTCTTTCATTAATTTTAAATTTTCCTCCAGATTCTCAACCGCGTGTTCGCCCAGCTTGGCGTCCCTGACTTGAAGTCGTCTCGTCTCGTGTCTCACGACTGGCTCGATATTTCTATCGGTTTCTTAGGAAAACTTACTTCCCTCCGTGTAAACGAGCTTTTCCGCCTTAACGGGTCAAACTTACGCGGACTGACCCCTGTAGACGACAAGCTAATCCAGCGGGTCAAACTGACCAACACCTTTCACGCCTCCGTGCCCACCGAGAAGACGGGCAAGGTCATAACGGACGCGGTATGGATGCTGAATTTCACCCACATCCGACACATTACCGTCTTCATCGGAGAACTGAATATCGCTATAACCAGCCCAGTAGTGATTCAAACGTGTCAAAAACTCCCAGTTTTGCCTAATTTGACCTCGCCTAAGTTCCACTTTGACGCATTCATGACCCATGATACGTTCCTCGTTGTAAATGTAGTCCACACTCACAGAAAAAACGACACCGAATTGACACCATTCCGGTGTCTATATATGACTCTACCGGTTTGGTGTCAAATTGACACGGCGCGGTGTCAATTATGTTGCACACCGTGGCGGTGTCAACCCAACATACCGTAGTGACAACACCAACACCGCGAATGGATCAGAGGTTGTGCTCAGTTATGTTGCTTCGACACTGCTAGGTAACGATATGACTGCAATTTAATATATGCATGTCACCACCCGGTGGCAAATCGTCCCCGGATTGTGACAACTGAACTACAACTTTTAGTAACAAATATTTTATTTTACGTTCAACAATATTAATCACTTAAAAAATTAATAAAGTATTTCAAACATATTCACAAGTAACAAATTATAACACTCGCACATATCAAATAATATTTTTTTCTTTATACCTTATGCACTTTTAAAGAAAAAACTTATATGTACTTAACACGGTGATGATCAAAATATGAGTACATCGTTAAGTTAAATTAAGTTTGCAAAAAAGATTTAGTAATAATTAAATTGGCTGTCGGGTGGACAAATCCTTACTCGTCGGTTCCCTCGTTTGGTTCAGTCTTGAGTTTTAGCTTTCTGGAAACAAGTTTTCAAAATAAAAATACACACAGTAAAATAATTTTAATTAAATGAGGGAAAATTAATGTAGGTTACAGATTTTAACTCACCTGAGTCAAGAAATTTGTAGTAGTCGTTAAACTTATTGAAAAACAATTTTTCCATCGAAATCAATGGAACACACCAATTAATTTACCCATTGTGTTGACTGTTTCGTGGAGGAGGAAGGAAAATGGCCGCCAAGCATACCCGTGCACAAGGAAGAGACTGACACAATTTGGTGTGAAGTCCAGGTCTCGCTTGCTGCTGTAACATCGTATCGTGTCAATTCGACACCACAGCAGGAATATCGCTGATACCGGTAGCGTGTCAACGCGTTTTTTTTGCTCAGTGTCATTTTTACACAACGGTTTGACACTGTTTAGTGGAATTGAGGTTGACACCGACGGTTGGTGTTAACGAAATTCTTGGTTTTGTTACCAAGTTGCTAAGAGTGCACCTCCTGCAACTTTTTGTCGACGCGGGCCCCAACCTGACCTCCTTGGACGTTGTGGCGACACTCTATCCGAGTTTGGAGGGGTGTAAACATCTCAAAGTTTTGACTTTTTCATTTGCAAGTCAAGTCCGCTTTACTAACCTGAACTTTATCGCGGTGACGGAAATGTTAGGTCAGGTCAAGGAGTCCTTAACAGAGGTGGAATTGCATTACCTTGGTTATTACTTACAACCCGTGCTGCTGCAGGTAATTTATATCAACTGGGAAGCGAATAATGATGGTAAATATACCTATTTAATGAGGGTATTCACGACAAATTTCCAAATTTATGAAAAATTCATTTGCACGCGAATTTGCACACTAATTTGTATACTTTCTAAGTTTTTGTCAATATTATGTTGCCATGAATACCCATACATACATAATACTATACGTCACGATTTCACGATATCTTGCCTGTCTTGAAATGTGTCACACCAGAGCTGGTGGATATCTAGTGAACATCTCGGATTATAACTTCACTTGTGTCAAGTATAAGCTCACCACCATTAATTTAACAAAATTCCGATTATTTAAATATGTACCACAGGACCAGAATCCTAACGCTCCCGTCATGTCGAAAGTTGTCTCTCTCACCATCGATCCACTAGATGAGTACCCTCTCCACCCTTTTTTCGACGAGGAACACTTCCCAAGTCTGAAAAAGCTCCGACTTCACAACCTCTTAGGACGGTCAATCCATTTGGATGTGTTCAAGCGACATCGAGGCGTTGAATATCTCTCCGTGGAACTGAGCCAGGCCATAATTGAGGTCGATTTCGCGGCCAAGATGGTCTCATTATTTCCATCCGTTAAGAAATTTGACTTATCAATTGATCCATTGTTCACCAGGAACCACGTGACCACGATGACTCACGATGACTTTAACTGAGCGATTGAAGCGTTCCGATTATTCGATCTGGAAGAGGTCAACGTGGTCATAAGTTCTATCCGTGAAACGGTCTTGTTAGTTGCACTCTTGAAAAATATGTCCGTCTGGAAAGGTATGAATCATAAATAGAGTGTTTGAGTAGAGGGATTTACTTGGGAAAAACGGGGTTAAATTAAATAGAACAAGGAAATGGATAAATCTGTATAGTCAATAAAGTATTGAAACTTTTCCGTGTTGTAAAATTTGATGAGAATTGCGTAGAAGTTTAAAATGAGTGAAAATTGCTTACTTGTTTTGTAAAAACAATACTTTTTAAAAAGTTGCAACTAAAAAAAGTAGAATCCATCGTAGAGTCTGGCTGCTCCTGACTTTCCAATTCCTCTTTTGAAACATACAAAATTTTTCAACTTGAAACAAGTGGCTCGCTAAATTAAATTTTGTCTCAATGTACCTCAAACTGTGCAAAAGTATCTATGTAAATTCCTATGCATATGTAAATATCCAACTCTGTGGTGTGAATTGCATATTTGCCAAAATGAATGAATATTTAGGATTTTTAAAATTATTTCATTTTAGGCGTTAAAGCCGTCCATTTTAACAGGACTCATGTAATACAGGAAGATTTTTTGAGCCACGTTAAAGACATAATTTTGTACAGTGGAGTGTTTAAAAGTGTGAAAATCTCGGGATATGAAGAAGTCTTGAGAAACGTGGTACTAAATTACTGTGAAATTTCCATGTTTGTATGTATGGAGTTTACACGTAACAAGTGTATTACTAATTTAGGGACCGGAAATTCTGGAACCATTCCAATCCGACTTTGAAGCCAGTGGTGCCCCGATTGAGTTGACAGGAGGCGTACATTGTAAATTGGTAGCTAGAAAACGGCGTGGATTAGCACACAATTAATTTCATTGTTAGAACATTGTTTTGCATCGTTACAATGCATGTGTATTTAGATAATAGATTTGTAAATAAGTACGTAGTTATAGTTGTAAAAATTTAAATACGTAACTAATATATTAATAATGTATTGCAGGATGTCATAAATATTAGAATATCTACAAAACATACCCCACTAGCCAAACATTGATGACACATATCTATTGTCAAAATTATACGAGCTAAGCGTTTTCAAAGTGGATAGCCAATAATACTCGCATCTCACATGTGCTCACTTTTCATGGAAAAATATTTATAACGAGAAACAAATTTACATATGATGAGTCACAGTCACAAGATGTCAATATGTGCGATCAATGATGAGTGTTGATTTCAGTCTCTCTAATTCGTGGCAAGTCTGTGATTTCTGCACACTTAAAAATATGAATGCTATAATATGGGTAATATCCAACCAACTTTTGGGGGCAATCGGACATCCCCCCTTGAGTCGGGGTATCATCGAGGTAAAATGAGAATTTAACCGATTCCATAGATGAAATCCTCCTATGGGGTCATATGATACAGCTAACTCGATCCGTTCAATAATAACACTAATATCTTTAAGTGTGCAGCCAAAAATAGAACGACCAATCGCAGATTTTAGGGACTGACACCGACACTCACGTATCGCACCGTGCATAATAAATATATACACATTTCATCCTCGTCCCATGCTTTGTTTGTTAAATTCCCAAGTCGACTTATTAAATTTAGGTACTCGAAATAATAAAATTGAAAAGGAAACATAAATACGTAGAGTATTTAGAAATACGAAATGTCCATTAAAATATTATAATCAACAACACAATTTTCCTTTAAAATTAGAAACAGTTTTCCAATTTAAGTTTCACCCTAACAAATTAATTAGATTAATATTTTCTTTCACTTTGGAATTTCGATTTTAGAAAAAAATTGACCGAACATGGACTTAAGGTCAACACAGAGTTCTTCAAAGTTCAGTAAGCGATCCATTTTAAATTTGACTATATATTTTTCTTTTACAAAAAGCAGTTTTTTAATAAAATATAAGACAATTTTTTCCATATCTATATTATACATAGTCCGACCATAAGTTCCCGTGAATGCATTTCCGGTGATAAAGCCCAAAGTATTAGAGCTATCTGATAGAAATTTTTGTGGATGAACAAGGTATTAATCTTGTTTAGAAATCATAACTTCGTTTTCACAATTTCCTCCACGGGCTTGTACACAAGACATAAGTCGTGGCGAAAACTGCTCGATCGCGGCACGCACGGATTTCCAGGGAAAAGCGCCAGATCTTCAGTAAGTGCGACCTCAGCCCTTCCACACTTGGGTGAAATTTAGAGCATACTTGTACCTATAATTTTCACCACCAGTCATAATTTAGGGGATTAAGGTCTGCAGATACTGAGCACCGTTCTACGGATGAAAAAAAGTCATGAAAATTCGTCTGAAGCCAGTTTTGGACAATTTTGCACCTTGCGCATGAGCAGATTCTTGTTGAAAGGTCCAATGTCGATTTTCGGAGGGTCCAGGGTTCAGGTTATTAACGTTTGGCTTTAGGACACTCTGAAAATAATTCTTGGCTTCAACTTGTACCCTTTGCGGTAAAAAACAGAGATTTCATTTCTCCAGCCAACTTGCTCCCATGCACACAAAATGGTCCATGGTCCATCAGTGGACCAATTTTTTTGCGGTCCATGATCCACAGTCCATCCTGGACCAATTTGGTGCCGTGGACCATGGGCCATTGCAAGCTATTTTCATGACAAGTTAAACATAATCTGTTCCTACCCTCTTTAAAAATAATGCTACCCTCTTTAACAGCAAATATACTTAATTATTAACTTTACATATGCTTTGTTAAATTAACTTTACACTGGATTTAGTATAATGTACTACGTAATATCGAATTTGCAGTTCATTAATACTGAAAAGTGAAACACCATTTTTAATAGGATATACGTTAATAAAATTCGCACATGTGTATTTAGGTACCACAAAACCTGAACCCTTACCTTCCCGTCATGTCGAACGTTGTCTCTCTCACCATCAATCCAGTCCATGAGTACTCAATCCCCCACTTTTTTGGCGAAGAGCACTTCCCCCGCCTGAAAAAGCTCAGCCTTCACGACACCTTTGGCAAATCTGCCTTGTTCACGCATCTCAATCTGTGGAAGTTTCACCGAGGAGTTAATTTCATGTCTCTGACCCTGGATCGGACTTTGATCAAGCCCGATTTCGCCGAGAGGATCGCCTTCCACTTATTTCCCCATGTTAAGAAATTCGACTTATCAATACTTCTCATTTCGAACGGGATCGAGTTTGCCCGTTTGGCTAACCGAGCGATTGCACCGTTCCATTTATGGAAGTTAGAGGAGGGCAACTTGGTCATAAATTTTATCCGGAAATCGGCCTCGTTAGTTGCAGTCTTAAAAAATGTGTCCAGTTGGAAGGGTATGTGCATATTAATTACTAGCGTTTAAGCCGTCTCCCGCCGGGCGAGAGCTTATTTGATTATCATGATAATTGAGTGGGATTGTTTATAATTCCACAGAATTAATCTTTTATGGAATTATTGGTATTTAATATGTAATTAGCTGGAAATATCTGTTTTGGGCCATTCGAAACTTAACTTTCTCCACTTTCACTTCCGTTTCGGAAAATTCTTTCATATCCGTTGCACATAAACATTTCCAGTTTATAATGTAGAAGAGGAAATATGTTTCCGAAAATATGCAAGATTTTAAAAATTATTTGATTTCAGGCGTTAAGACTATCGTTTTTGAGGCAACTCATGTAACACAGGAAGATTTTTCTGGCCACGTTCAAGACATTATTTTGTATAGTGGAGGCTTTAAAAGTGTTAAAATCTCGGGAAGCGTGGTATGTATTCCTCTATTTACATAATTGGAAATATGTATTCGTTAAATTTTCGAGTATGTAACCAGTCTTATTATTAATTTATTTAGAAAGGGAAACTTCTTAAACGATTTCAATCCGAGTTTGAAGCCAATGGTGGCCCGATTAAGTTGACGGGAGGTGTACATCGTAAACCTTATATGTAGTTCAAAAAACGGCGTTGATTAAAACACAATTAATTTCATTATTAAAACATTGTTGTCTATCATTTCAATACATATTTAGAGCTCATTGCTTTTGCTTACACATGTAAGTTGTAAGTAAATATCTAAGTAGTTAAACAAATACATATGTGGAATGTACATAAATATGACAAAATTTAATAAATACGTATCTACAAGATATACAGATGCTCGTACCCGACTGGCAAAACTTAATAATTTCATAGAATTAGTTTCACTCGATCACAAATTCAATTAGTACGAAATTTAAAAAGGACACAATCTACTAATGCGAAGGTTTTGCACGGATATATTTATATCGGAACATGAGGAAAAACGTGGAAAGTTGACAAATTATACATTTTTCAAAATTTTACTGCACATTTTCTCCTCTTTGGATGCAAATATACCTGCCAATCCTACGCGTTGGGAAATCGCGTATGTCGCATATTTCATATTGTGATCGATTGATACTGATTATCTTAAAGACGGATAGCATGCGAGACCTCCACCATACATACATATCTCAAAATTGAAAAATCGTACAATTTGTTAAAAGCACTTATTTATTCACTTATAATTTAATTTATTTAGCCTTAGCAAATTGTTTGATAAAAATTACAAACAAAATGAAAAAAGTGCCGGCGTTAAATTTCACCATGGTCGGGATTTCTAAGCTTATATGCACACATGTAAAGACTAAAACATTAATTTTCCTATATTTATCGGCACACATTTACCCGTTCATAAGTGCAACATATTTATATTCTAACCTCCGCTTCACGTTACGTGATTACATTAGCCGAATGATTTTATTATTTGAGACCAGTTATTTTTATTTTGGCGTTTAAATTATTCAGTTTAGTATAATTTCTACCCCAAAATAGAAATAAAAATAACTGGTGTCAAATTATAAAATAATTCGTAATGTACATACTCATTGTAATGTCACGTAACGTGAAACGGAGGTTATCCACATCTCGGGTTTGTACATTTTTCATACTAGGTAAACAATCAACATGATGAGACATGTTACTTTGTTTGTTAGACAACAAAGAGGAACAAAATGATGATGACAGAACCGCGTGCCAGCCAAGTAAAATAAAAACTCCTTTCACATTTCGTTCCTGTCACACGTTTTCTTAAATTTCCAAGTATGAGTTATTAAATTTACTCTGAATAATAATAACTGCGAAGGAAACATATTTAGAAATATCAAATTTGCATTAACAAAACGTGAGTAAATTTTGTAATCAACAACACCACACTTTTCACGTCAAATAAATCAGAAACAGTTAAAACGTTTCCCAATTTAATTATCATGCTATTAATATCTTTGTTTATATACTTTCCAATTTTAATTTTAGACGTAAAAATCGAATGAACATGGACTCCGGGTCATCTTCGTCAGGAAAGAGTTCTTCAAATTTCAGTAGGTGGTTCATATCTTAATTTCCATTCATTATATTTTGTTTCTGCGTGATCAGCAAAAACAGTTTTATTTTAATTAAATAAAACTAATTATATATTTACTTTCTTTCAGGCTCGAAAGATGACGGCGGCGACTCGTTTAACAATAACAATGCCGTGACGAAAGTTTTGAGAAATCCGTTGGTCAGTCAGTTAGAATTTTTAATTTATCAATTTCATTTATCTGCGGAAAGGTTCCCCTTAATTTTGGAAAACATGATTTTTGTGTAATCTGCACATCATGATTATTGATGAGTGAAAATATGCTAACAGATTTTGTGCTTATGATTATAAATTTATGGGTACCTTTTTCTAGGATTTTACTACATTTATTGCACTGCGAGACATGTACATAAGTGGAAGAAACTGCAAAAAAGTGCAAGAAATCGCCATCTAGCGGTTTCATATTTCGCCCATATGTACACTCCCTTGTTGCATTTCCTTCAGGTCAAAATCATGCAAGAAATCACTTTCTTGCACGTGGTTACTTCCACTCCAGCCGAAAAACTGACTAAATCTTTAACACCCCACTGATTTTAAATTTCTCCCCAGATCCTCAACCTCATCTTCGCCCGTCTCTCCGTCCCCGACTTGAAATCGTCTCGTCTCGTGTGTCACGACTGGCTCGACATTTCCACCGGTTTCTTAGCAAAGCGTACCTCCCTCCATGTCAACAAGCTCTTCCGCTACGATGATTCGTCAAAGTTGGTCGACCTTGCCCCCGTCAACGATAAACTAGTCCAGCGCATCCGATTTTGCAACAATTTCCTGCCCTCAGTTCCAACCAACAAGACAAACGAGGTCATATCGGACGCAGTACGAATGCTAAATTTCGCCCGTGTCCGCCACATTACCGTCTTCATCACGAACAATAACGTTGTGACGGGTTCGTCGGTGGTTAGAGCGTGTCAAAAACTCCCAATCCTGCCAAATTTGACCTCGCTTAAGTTCAAGGTTAACCCATACGTTACCCATGGAACGCTCCAGGTTTTAAATGCTGCCCACCTCCTGAACCTCTTTGTCGACGCGGGACCCAACCTGACCTCTTTGAACGTAGCGGGAGCCCTCTATCCGAATTTGGGGGGTGTAAAAACCTCAAAGCTTTCACGACTCTAAAGGGCGTGACTACGTAAAACGTTTAGTCACGACTCTAAGGGGTGTGGCCACGTAAAACGTTCAGTAACGACTCTAAAGGTCGTGACCACGAAAAACGTCCAGTCACGACTCTAAAGGGGGTGACCACGGAAAACGTTAGGTCACGACTCTAAAGGGGGTGACCACGAAAACCGTTAAGTCGCGACTCTAAAGGGGATGACCACGAAAAAGTTAGGTCACAACTCTAAAGGGGGTGACCACGAAAAACGTTCAGTCACGACTCTAAAGGTTGTGACCACGAAAAACGTTCAGTAACGACTCTAAAGGTTAAACCTTCGGTCACAACTCTAAAGTATGGCATTGTTCTAACGTTTTAAGAACGTTTAGGCACTTAAAGCAAAACCCCGCCCTCTAGCGCTGAAAAACAGCCAATATCCGATAGGTGGCGCTGGTAGGTAATTAAAATTAGTAAGGCACAGGTAAAGTGTCCACGATACCGTGGGGCACAGAGGTCACAGGTCAAGTATAGTGGGTGTGCCCAGGTCACAGGTCAAGTGTCAACTACGTTAAGTGCCAAGTTTAGGGATTGTATGCAGGTCGCAGGTCAAATGTCAAGTCCAGGGGGGTGTACCAAGGTAACAGGTCAAATCCAGTGGGTGTGCCCAGGTCACAGGTCAAATCTAGTGGGTGTGCCCAGGTCACAGGTCAAATCTAGTGGGTGTGCCCAGGTCACAGGTCAAATCTAGTGGGTGTGCCCAGGTCACAGGTCAAATCTAGTGGGTGTGCCCAGGTCACAGGTCAAATGTCAACTCTGGGGGTGTGCCCGTTCATTTGATCAAGTCTCGGGAGATCTAAAGGGTGTGTTTCGTTGTTATCGTGTTCGTCAACGTTTTAGCGAGCTTTAGCGAAAAACGCCCTCTAGAAACGAAAAATGCAACATAGTGCCCAAACTGCCGCTAGGTGACATTAGCTTGGACCATGTGAGACACGTGTGTAATCAAGCGCCAAGTTCAACTGGTAACACACACACACACACACACACACACCACTGCACAATTCTTGGTTCTGATGTGTGCGCTCATCAAAAGCCAAGCCTGATCCAATTGCAGCTGTGGTTATTCGATCTAGTGGTCGACAACGTTTTGGAAACGTTTGTATACTTTCTGCGGACACGCCCTCTAGTGGCAAAAAAAGCAACCTTGTACCTGAAAGTTCCGCTAGGTAGCGTTGTCCTGCAAATTTAATAAAGATGGGGCAGTATGATACACGTCATCGAGTGAAAAGCTTTGAGAAAGTTTTGAGAACGGTTTGAGAACGTTTTGACACTTTCTGCGAAAAACGCCCTCTAGCGGCAAAAAGTGCAACAAAAATGAAAAGGCCGCTTAGTCTACTTTGGGGTAAAACAATAGTAAAAAAGCTCGGCCGAGTGCAGAAAAAACTCTGCAGAGTTCGAGCTCAGCAAAAATTTGCCGAGTTTGCAGAGTACCGAGTCTAAACGAGTACTCGTTGTAACCCTAAACCTGACAATTTTTATTTTTTTAATTTGTTTCCAAATTTATCATTTAGAACATGGAAAGAAAGGTGGTAAAAGTCAAAGACATGGACAATCTTCGATACGCTGTTAAACGACTGTTAGAAGAGGTGGAAGATTTGCAAAAAAAGACGGCAAATGTGCAAAGGCTTTGTAGTTTCTCCCTTCACGGCAAGCGACTCATATTGTACTCCATCGCTATCTTGGTATGCATTTATTTGTATCTGCATAAATTAGAATACTTTTGTTACATGTAAATACATCATGTATTTATTATGCATGAGTCCAACAATTTTCATTGAGGGCTTTCACGTCACCTTTGTAACCCTAGTAAATAGCGTAAATTTACGAAATTTTTAAATTTAGTAATTTACTCATGAAAATGCTGTCCTTACACAGCATCATAAACACACGTAAGATTGGTGCGTCTTTTTCTGTCGTAAAAATATTTCTAAATAGTTGACGAGTAGTTTTTTAAGAACAGCTACATAAACACGAAGGCCATGAAAACCCTTATTGCTTTACTTAATTCGCAGTAACGCATAACAATTTTGTAATACGTACTTGCCAAGCAAACGAAGAATTAGGATAATTATCATGCCGCATAATTTTATAAATTCTTGTTAAACTGAAAATTCAATTAAAATAATTTTAAAAAAGCTTGCTTAGGCGAGGCGCTGCTAAAAGTGAAAAACAAGGCCTCTGGCATATCTTTTAAATATCTCGTACCTTTATCATTGTAACAGGAGGCTTTGTCTCACCGCGAGGCCAAACATTTTTACCGTTTACCATACCACGACGTTTATTACTTACACTTTCTGCTAAGATATTCAATTATTGCTAATTAAAATTGTATCTATATGTATAAACGCTTAAACAAACTTATTGCTTCGAAAGGGTTGTAAAATTGAGTGGATTTTGTAAAATTATTATGCAGAGGACCAATATGATCAATAATATTTATTTAGCTCATAATTAAATTCGATAGTTAACCAGTAATTCAGGTAGCTAATAAAATTTGATGGATGTGCACAATTTTCAATAGGTGTTATGCAAAAAATTAAGATGCCGACGCACGAATAACAACGCGAGGGTATTTCCTAATTTTATTTACATATTAAAACAACTAGTTTTCAGTACGAACTAAAAAGTGATAAATGATAATTTTGACGTAAACCCAGATTAGTTAGGTTCTTGAGAATATATTCTTCATTACTAGAGGCTTGGCGTAAAATGTTTGGCCTCGCGGTGATGCAAAGTCACCAACTCCTGTTACAATGATAAAGGTACGAGATATTTAAAAGATATGCCAGAGGCCTTGTTTTTCACTTTTAGCAGCGCCTCGCCTATGAGCCCGATACAGTTTTGGCAATACAGTGCGGCACCCCATCAGCAAATGAAGGACAGGTCATATCCGACGACCCGTTTCCACCTTGACCTAAATCACCGCACATGGTAATCGGTGATCCCAAGCAGTCAAACCCGATCGTACAAGATGCAAAATTTGTGTCGCAAGCGGACGGTGCAATGCAGAGTTGGGCAACCGCAAAACTCAAGGTGCACCCCTGATTTACATAATTAAAGCAGTTAATTTAAACATGACGTCGGAATTTTTGAAAATATTTTTTTAAGTGTTACCAGGATGACCAGTGTGACGAGTTGGCTCTTAAAAGTATTCATGTTTTATGTTATATCGTCCATCTGACTGGTAAGACGGGAATGTAAAGTACGTTGGAGAAATTTGCTTTTAAATAGGATTAAACCCGTGCTTCATTAACTTATGATCGCTCAGTATAGCGGCATGATTACTGTACTAATTGGTACGTGAGATTAATTAACTTATTTATAAATGCTATGAAATTGCCCAGTTTACTTAGGCTTAAGGAATTTGATTCGATGGCATCATCCCTTCCAGCGGTGCAAAATATTTTAGCTTTGCATACGTTTGTGTTGTTTACATAAATATATGTAAATGTTGCAACAAAATATAAGGAATGAAATAAAAATATATACATATGAATAGGTATGCAATATGTATTTGTATTGGGGGATTCATTATTCAAGTCTTTGCAAATATAAATAGGTGAAACTTTCACCTGTTGAAAATTTGAAAAAATAGTCAAATTTTTAATTGACTGACCTACACTCTTAAAAAAATCAATAACCGGTGGTATTGATACGTGACTCTACCGCGTGGTATTGATCAGGTATTAAATTAATACTGCGTGGTAAAAAAGTTAATACCAATTAGTATTAAAATTATTACCATGAGGTATAATTTCAATACCGGTTTTATACCAATATGGTATAACCGTTTAATACCAAGGCGGTAGAGTCACGTATCAATACCGTTAGGTTTTTTTCAATACCACGTTTCTAAGAGTGTACACGTAGCCATCATCTGATCAAATTCCTCATCTGGACAAATATTTTGCATCTATAATTCCCAATTTAAAAAATTACAATTAATTGTGTACATATACTAGCAATTGTAGTAAACAATTATATGTCCTAGTATTGGCAGCTAAGGATAAATATATATGCTTCATTCAATATACATATGCCGTGCTGTCATACCAGTCGTGATATAATAAATTTGTAAATCATACTCGATAGTATTTCTCAAAATTGGCATTCTATGTTCTTTGTCCAAACTGAGGATGAGTGGAGTCGAGATATGTGCATACATGCTTAAATTTATGTGTAGCAATAAACACATGCATGTATGTATGTATGTATGTAACCTAATGCATACATTTACATTATACATTCTTAAATTTAAAAAGTTGTAAATACGTTATACCATGTCAAATTTTGCAGTTATATAAATACTTCAATTAATTTTTTTTAGAAAATCAGTTCCCAATTTTTACAGTTTATTTGGGGATCATTATTAATGCTTTAAAAGCATTATTTATGGTATCTGTATTTTGTGAAAAAATATAAATATGTGTGCATGGAGCAATATGTAAAGTATTTCTTATATTTTTTCCAAAGAATTGATCGGATTAAGCAGTTCGGAACATAAGGCATTTGATGGACATCTTATTTTGGTAACCATGTCAGCTGATAATACGTTGAACGTTGAAAATTTAAAGTCCGGTTAAGAACCCGTTTTCGATATTCACTAACTTCATGGTTAAATTAATACGACTTGTTAATCGAATTTTAAGTATTTTCCGTGTACAAAAAGACTTAAATAAAATTGGTCCTATTTTTTAGATAATGGAAAACGGGAGATAAGGTCGTCATTTAAAAAAATTTGATTATATTTACTTCGAAAAATTTTACTTTTCTTATGGAAAAGTTGAGACTGTTTGGCATTGTTAAAATGAAATGTGTCTGATTTTGATTTGATATTATTTATATACTTAATACTAGATTATAACCAAGCGCAGTTATGTACACTATAAAGCATCCGGTAGAGTCACATATGTACTCCGTACTGGTATTGATTTGGTAATAATTCAATACCGGATTGGTTATAGTTTAACTCTGAGTGGTAGCGATTTCATTACCACAACACTACTACCCCGTAACGATCGATATTACCGATGCTGGTAAAGTCATATATGTACTCCGTTCAGTAATGATTCGTAATGATTGAATACTAGATGCCTAAGAGTGTAGAGTGTTTAATTGCTGGATCTAATATTTGAATTGCTTTATGTTTTTGAATGTGTTAATGTTTAAATGTTTCTTGTTTGAAATAAAGTGATTAACTCATGCGGCCCTTCAGCATTCAGTGCATGTTTATTTTTCACTAGCGTTTTATTTCAAAATATTCCTATTGCATACATGTATACATTCACTCATTTAATGATAAATGAATAAATTATTCATTCAATATTCAAAAATTGAATGAATATTTTACTCTGATTTTTGAATATCGAATGAATATCTATTCAATTCGTGGGAATCAGTAATGAATTAATATTTTTTCAGTATTCATTTTTTACTCAATAGTTAATACATAAGGAAAGTTGAGAAATTCGTTTAATACTGTGAATTTCCAATAAAATGGGTAATGAAGGAATGGTGAATAATGAATAAATGTTGAGTAATTTGAATTTTTTTTACAAATTATGCATGAATGCATAAGGAATGAATACTTTTTTGAAGGCTTTGAATGAATGAAGTTTGAATGAACAAATATTTTCTGAACATGTATTTATGTCCTATTGGAGCCAAGCATAAATTGCATATTATGAAAAAGATGAGCAACATACATACATATTTACATATGAATTGCACACAAATTCCACTATGCAACATCGACACAAGAGGATCCATAAACCCAGAACAAAGAGCATGGACGAGAACAAAGAGCTTTCTCCAACCCTCACCTGCAATTAACTCCGCTATTCCGTGGCATCCTTACATGCAAAAATCTGTCAATCAAAACCCAGCCAGAAAGCTACGGTAAGGGTACAAGTACTTCTTTTTAAATTCTTTTGTTCTTATCATACGTGTATTTTTCTTCGTCTTATGACCAATGAGTCAGCCAGACCACGCCTAGATTCTGTGGCCAACTTTCACTTGTCCGTGTCTTTAAGCTCAATTCTTTAAAATACTATTTATATTCGAAGCAAATTTTATTATATCACATCTTTACAAATATTGAAGGCGGTATAAATCTAAGACTATTGTTACTGCATGACTCAAAAATGCGACGTCAAGAGTGAAAGTATATAGCAAAGCTTCATCTCAATTCGAGATTTAGTAGTTATTTAATTAATTAGAATATTGTCTATTATCTCACAATGGTATAAATTATGGGACAAGTTTACAAATAAATTGTGATTGTGGGTCGAAGGGGACGCGGAAATTCGAGCCGCCCGAGACGACGAAGGGCCGCGCATGTAAATCCAAGACTTCTTGACTTGAAATGTGACGTCACAAGTGAAAGTAGCAAATTATTTGTGTCTCTAGGTTGAAATATTAATCATATCTTACGGAAATTATGTACTCGAGTACTGTCGTCACAAATTCTTAAACACCGAAATCCGAATTTATTGTTGAAGAATGACATAAAATTGTGAAAGTGAAAGTAGCAAAATTGTATCTCTATTCAAGATGTAGTAATTATTTAGTTATTAAGGACATAGGCAGTTCCTCCAGCATAATGTAAATTAGAAGATAAGTTGAGGTCATGGATGTCGAGAGGGATGCGGAAATGGAAGCTGCCCAAGGGGACGAAGGGTCTCACCCGTTCTGCGTTTACACCCAACGGAGCTCTTATCCCTGGCTAGTTGACAATTTTAAACGACGTTGGCAAAATCTCAAAACTCGGTGGCAAAATTTGATGAAATGGGAACCAGTTCCGGAATCCGCGTGTGTCCGAATTCTTAAGAAAGTTCCCGGTTTAAAACAAAGTGCCCAGGCCGGGATGCATGTTTTGGCAAGGTACAGATATTTTACGGTTAAAAATATATAAGATTACAAATATTATGCTACATGCAGATTCAACAATCTAATTAAATTAAGCATTTTAGTGTCATATCGGTCTCCATAATTTTTATTTGGATGTAAATTAGACAAGAAAAAGATGTTGACGTGCACGATTGAACAGATAATGAAACATGTATCATATAAATACAAACATAATTAGGATAAATTTAAAAGTGTGTGGCCAAGGCAAGAATATTCAATTACATCTCTTTCCAGAATGCAATATACAGAATTCGCATTGTGCTCCTGTGTGCGCATCTTTTAGTTTTGGTTCGCATTTTTTTCCACTCTTGGAACAGTCAATGGTAGTTTGAATTGCTACCTTTCTCCCATTGACGCACTTGTAAAATGCGTGCGGGACACATTTGCTGGTGCTGTTGTGCGGTTTCAACTCATAACCACAATAATATAGCCAATTTCCTGTTGTATTTACCTGAGGATGACACATGCAGCCAGATTCAATTTCGCCATTGTAAACGTAATCCAGATTTTGTAGAGTGGCTTGATGCTTCTCTTCTTCTACAATAATATACGATAATATACCAGGGAATGATAAACTGTTCTGAGATGATAAGGGGATGCCTTCTAAATGGGAGAAGTTACAACTGCAAAATTTTGTTCAAAGAGCACTTTTCCGAATGGGGTAGCTCATGTATTTTCAACGGGATTCCTGCAAAGGCAACACGGCGGTGCATATCTAATTTTCAGATTTCATGTGAAGTGCATATATGTACAAGAATAATGAGTAATTCGTATTGGCTTTAAATAGGTACCAAACCATCCAATCTGCAGTGGGGAGCAGCACCAAGGAAGAAATTCAAGAGTGGCAGGAAGCCGACTTAGACGAATATGTCACAAATCTCGAAAAGAAAACCGATACGGATCTACATCCTGCGATACCCTAGAGGCAAATGGCGCCTGGTATATCATCCGGACTGACGTTTGCCATCAAGGAAGAGTTAGAAGATAAATCCTGCGTTCACACTGACAACACTGGATTTATGGTAAATGTATTTAGCTGCATCAAATGGATAACTACGAATATAATTTCATTTTAATAGTTGGCAGTAAGCAATCCAAGAGACGAGCCACAAATTCAACGATTTGGTACGGCATTACCATATGGGAGGGAAATTTATGTCTCCCTTTACCCTGAAGTCATCTTAGCCGAGAAGGATGCCAAAGATGTTTCCATGGTTAGCAATTTTACAAAGGATAGAGCCCATTCGGTACTAAATTTAATTATTTGCCGAAGGAACGGCGTGGCTGTTACTTCACCGATGACAAGGGTGACGCCTATTTGGATTTCTACAAAAAGTATTCCCGACAGAATTGCTTGGAGGAATGTTTCGCCAAACCAATTTATGTAGCATGCAACTGTGCTAAGGTCTCCTCACCTGGTGAGTTTTTACAACGCCTTAATTTTTGTTACAGGACCTATCTTGTTTTCTGCAATTAGGATTCCCGGGGCGAAAGTTGTGTTCTCTCCACAGTGTAGATGGTTGCGTCAGATTCAAAGAAGGTAAACCATTAATCAACATAATTTATTTTTAAATACCCAATCACATCAATCCCAAACTCGTAGAACAAATGCACAACGAGGGACTAAAGGATGCATGCAAAAAATGTCGCCCAAATTGCCGAGACACCAAATACCGGACGTCGGTTACCTGGAGTCGAATGACAGAAGAGCGCATGAATTACTACAAGGAAATGTTCCATAGCACAGATTACAGGTGTGCGGACTAAAGCATAAAGATTTTGAATTTCTTAACAAATATATACCTACTTATTTAGCGGCGACAAGAATATTACCATTTCCGTGGTAAATGTCTACTTTGCGGTTGATTCAGTCCACCCTACACGAAGGAGTGCTAGATACAGCACTTTCGAGGAAGTTGGTAAGGTTTCGATAATAATTTCGATAAAGCGGAAAAATGAATGTGTTTTCTTTCTGACAAGGCCTAATTGGTGGGACTGTCTCCATGATTACTGGCTTAACCTTGTTGGATGTAATTGAGTCTCGTGTACTAATCGCGGTAATAGTCGTGGCAAAGTACAAGGTGTGGAATAATCTTGGAAGAATGGGAGGTCCCGCCTGTGAGTAACTTTCTTCGGATTTATCACATTAAAATAAAATTTGGCTTCTAACTAGCCTGCTTAATATTATTCATAGCAAGAGTTAATGTGTTGTATACTAATTTCTTTCAGTTAATTGGAAACTATCGATTCCCAAGTTCCTGAGACGGAATAATAGGGTGGTTCCCGAGGAAATTGAGATGGCTGCAATCCAGCAAAGGCCACAAAGACAAGCATTACCACGCCGTCGTCCATCCCATCCGATGGAGAATCTGCCTGGATATCTTCCGTAAATCTTAAACCCCAATGTGCTCAACATTAAAATGTAAGGTCAGGATACTAAAACTAATTGTAAAATCCATTCGAGCATTTAGTCAGGATAGTCTATCAAATATGTAGTTGCTTTGCGCTGATGCAGAACATAATATTTAAATCAGTCGTATGTCACAAAACCTATGCACGATTCCCTTCCTACAAACTCAGCTTAAATCGCTTTCATTGTAAAATTTTGAAACAATAGCAGTAACATAGCATTATAAAGTGGTATTGTTCTTATTGTGAAGGAAGTGACGTAGTTTATATTACCAGAAAAAGTTGGCAAGTGACGTTGAGCCGTATAATTGGGAATTTATATTTCCCAAATCGCGAACATATAAATCAAGGTGTATATTGCTTTGGAATATCTTATATAGGATAATATAGATAATATAGGATATAAATATTTTAAATAAGAAACCACAGAAGATCATTTATCTAACATTTAAATAATTTATTACTAATATTGATAGTGCAAAACATTTATTTTTATTTAATGTGAAACAGCCTTAAGTATCTGCCAATTAATTTTCCTTTCATCTACATAGTTAACAATGCAAGCATTCCACCGGTTGCCCCCCCCCGATTTTGGAGAAATTAGTATAAATTAGCCATAAATTTAATTTGCATGAAATTTGCAAATGGGGCTATCTGCAAGTGCGCAAGTTTGGTGTAGATATGTGTACCGGGTGAAGAGGAAATGCGCTACAAAGTTGAATTTAGATTTTTTAAATTTACGGTACTGTTCCTCTTTTTCGGATGAAAATATTTATCTTTGCCAAATTTGCAGTTCGTGTCATTTGCAAATTTCATGCTAATTAAATAGAACAAAGCGCCTAGATAGTGGTGGTCAAAGTGTAGTTGATATCAAGGTAGTCAAAAATGGTACTAAACTTCTAAAATTCTGGTATAATATGCTAAATATATCTAACATGGAATCCTGAAAATTTCATGGTTCTTCAATGGAAGGTAAATTTCCTACGCAAATTCAAAGCATGAAAAACGGGAAATGAGTTTTCCGTAAGTACTAAAATTTGTTCGACAAAGACTCGAAGAAGGCTTGACTAAATTTCAACGGAGTAGGGTGTGGACGTGCAAAAAATAAGACCTACATAAAAAAGCATGGCGAATCCGAAAATGTCAAGTGCAATTACGCACCATGAATGAAAACCAGCATAATGACCCTTTGAAAGTTAAAAACGATTAAATTTATTTTTGGAAAATGTCGATCCACGTCCGTGCCTGATGCGACCATGAAGTCGAAGATTAATACAAACTACTTGTATCACATTAAAGCCCATAACTTGTGGGTCAAAGTTTATGCAAAAATATCTGCACCAAAATATACAGAAGGTCAAGAAAAAATGGCGAACGCGAGACTTCCCAAGCTCTACACCAAAGTCTCACCAAAACATTTGGTCAGTGGGGACGAGTCCTACGTCCTTAAAAACGCCACAGAAATCCCTAAGGTAATTTTGCATGGCAAATATATCTCTCAAGTGAAAACCGAAGTGAAACTGAAATGTTGTTAAAATTTCTCAAGAAATTCCCGATTTGGCTGGCATTAGGCCAAATTGGGCATTTTTGGGACCCTTCAGTTCAGAAGGGCTGTGTGGGCGCACATGTCTATTTTCTGAAATTTGTGATACACCGTCTTATTCTTTTCGACAACAAGTATCAAAAAATATATAATGTTTTTTTTGGCCAGACCATACCTGTGCAAGCGAATTTCGCTTCACTCAACTTCACTCATTTTCAAGTTCCCCTTCACTCCCCTCACTCGCGTGAAGTAAGGCTGAGGAGGACAACCCTTCACCGACAGAATCACCGATCTTGATGCCCTTTGGATATGTTGTAGTCCTAGGTGAGTCTAGCAAAAGTGAAGCAGGATTTCATTCCATGGCCCCATTTGCGCCCGCCACACCCACTCAAAGGCGCGAAAAACACGAAAAATACCTTGTTTTCGATCATTCAAAAAATCACCAAAAATCAAATTTTGATCGGATTTTCATAATTTAAGCGTTTCTGTGATCTTAGATAGTTGCTTTATCATATCCTATAGCAAACTCAATTTTTTTAATTTTTTGAATATTTTCGGAAATTTCCTGACCAGGGGTATGCCCTCGAAAAAATCAAAATTTCAAAAAAATTGAGTTTGCTATTGGATATGATAAAGCAACTATCTAAGATCACAAAAACGCTTAAATTGTGAAAATCCGAACAAAATTGGATTTTTGGTGATTTTTTGAATGAACGAAAACAAGGTATTTTTCGTGTTTTTCGCACCTTTGAGTGGGTGTGGCGGGCGCAAATGGGGCCATGGAATGAAATCCTTCTTCACTTTTGCTAGACTCACCTAGGACTACAACATATCCAAAGGGCATCAAGATCGGTGATTCTGTCGGTGAAGGGTTGTCCTCCTGAGTGAGGCTTCACTCACTCAAAAATCCAATTCTCACTCCTTCATTCCCTCACCCCCTCATTCCTCTCACATCACTCATTCCCCTCACTCAGCTATTTTCCTCACTCTTTCTTTCATTCAATTAAGTGCCTCGTGTCATCATAATTAAATACTTAGGCGCCATCTGGTGGGGCAATGTGAGACTAGGCTGGGGCAATGTGAGATTAGGCTGGGGCAATGTGAGACTGATCTGGGGTAATGTGAGACTTGGCCTGGACAATGTAAGACGAGGCTGGGGCAACGAGAGAATTTCCTGGGGTAACCTGAGACTCACTATTTTCATATTGCCACAGTGATTTTAGTATGTAAACTAATTATATTCCTTCACCCTTTCTTCCCGGAGATGAAGGAGTGAAAAAGATGAAGCCTTCATCTCCTTCACTCCTTCACCCTTCATTTCACTCATTTCTCGTTTGGGCCTCCCTCACTCAGCTTCACTCACTCGATAAAAGTTTTCAACTCCCTCACTCAGCTTCACTCTCCTTCACTCCCTCATCGTGAATGAAGCCTCAATTTTCGTAAATTGAGTGAAGCTGCACAGGTATGGGCCAGACCTTGCGGCCGTCCACTATGCAATAACTGTGAAGGGAAAAATTGACAAAAATGTCAGTTTGGGGTTGAAAGATGAAAGTTACCCATACGCCTGTTATCTTAAAAAAGATTTTGGGCTATGTGTAAGTGGTGATACTCCAAGCTTTGTGAAACAGTCGATACTTTAAGAAAATTTCAGTTCCGGTGGCAGAAAGTTAGCATTGAAGTTGCAAAGTCTTCCAAAAAAGCAGTGATGGCGGGCGTGATGAAAAACGTTAAATACGAGATAGATAATGGATTAAAGTTTCCTTTGAGCCTGGATTCATTTGGCTGGATACATTTATAATATTCTACGAAAATTCGGGATTTTTGAAATTAATTTTTAACCATTTGTTTGCCCAAATTCCATATCGCCACTTTCTAGGCGCTTTGTCCTATGTTATACAGATAGATTGGTGCAATAATATGAGTTTAGTCAAAATCGGATAACAAACGTGGGGAGACCTCCATTGTATGCTGTTTAATGAAAAGCACAGCATTTACTGTAGTTATCGCTGCGTAATTATGTCTAAAATAATATAATTGTAAAATTACACTGCACTCAAATGAATAGGAAAGTAGCACACTTTAAAATAGCTCAAGATACATTCGTCACCAATTTCACATTTTATTTGCAGTCAGACATTTCCTATAGCCATAGGTTGATCTAAATACATAAGTGATAGAAAACGCATGTATGTATGTAGATATGCATTTGTGGTCAATATTTTTTGTAGGCCAGACGTTTAGTTGAAATCATTGTACTGTAGATATACCGCATAGCTTTAATTTCACTTTCATAATTATCTCAATTTAAAAACTATAAAACTCACATCTGCCCATTTACAAATCATGCATTTAATTACCTAAGTAAATTAAAAAACTCATTGTAAGGAATTTAAAAAAATCCGTGATTTCCTTCATTCGTTTATAATTACCTAAATATTTGTGTAAATGTGTTAAATATTTCAAGTGAAGAATTTAGTCTCCGCGTATTAATAGCAAATACATATGTAAATAATCATTCAAATGACACAGATCACGAGCACATTAGGCTAAAACAACTGCTTTATAGTGGCACTGGCATATGTATAAATATGCAACTCTTTGTTAAAAATATGCATGCACATAATCACAACTAAATTTCATTGTAAGGTTTGCACACAGATAAATTTCTAGATTGTTTAATTAATGAATTAATTAAATTTATTTATTGATTGATTATCAATGCAACAACGGTGTTTATTATTTAAATATGTGCTTAATTTTGTCTGTGTAAATAATGATTTAGATACTTGAATTGTATAATTCGTCATTATGTTAAAAGTTTACACACAAGTCGAATTTACTTTTTTTTCTATTCAAACCTTGTTCAACAAATATTTATATATATATCATACACAGTATATGTACAGATATGATTTGATAATTCGATGCATATCCGCTGCACTTTCAAGAAATAAATAAAAAATAAATCACCCCACCAATCACACCCAAGCTCGGTCGATTTCGCATTTGACGATTTATTACAATTTTTTTTACACAATTTACAATTTATTTATGTATATGTGCATAAAATTCGTTTCAATTGTCTACTTTGTATATGCATGTATTCAAACATCACCAACTGGAATTCTGTAGTGATCACAACAACGCAAAGTAAAAATGGTCGTGCGATAGCTCATTTCCTTCTTAGGACCTTGCAGTTCCCAATATAAAATATTAAAAAGTCCAAAAACATTATCTATGGACTTTTATTTTTGGGCTCTCATTTTGAAGTGACCTGTCGGAGACCTTAAAAATAGTGCACTTAAGTGCACGGGATCATTTCTAAATTACAAATATGCAAATAACCAATATTTTTGTATAATAATAATTGATTTATTGCATCATAGCCACCAGCCTTTGCACATCGTGAATGGTTACATATTGAAAATCGTAAAGTTAAATAAAATTAAAATAAATAAACCGTTGCAAACGAAATGTAGCAAAGGGGTGAAAACACACGGAATTGTCTTTGTGGCACGCCCACAACGTCTTTCAGCACTTTCCCGTCATTGTCTCATATTACCCCACGTCTCATTTTGCCCCGTTTTGACACCCCCACGTACTTCAAACGGACACGACAACACCTTTCAATACACACGATCAGTAATGTACTCATGTAATGTACTTTGTACATTACTGATCGTGTGCTTTCAATAGACACCCCACATGACAAGTAATTTTTTCGAGATTCGACACCTCCCACACGGTAATTGAGTCGTCGCACGTCCAAATCAGGCGATTTCTGAAATCCCCGCCAAAAAATACGTCTAAAACGGTGGAAACGAGAAATTCGACTGGCCGTTGGCGTCATCCCCGTGGCGCCGTGACCTTATGACCTACAACGCCCATCTTCAAACTCATCCCGTCCCCAAAAATTAGAAACACGTTGGTGAAAACCGCATGCAGAAATACGAAACCATTCTAAAGTTATCGTGGATACAGATGGACAGACGGACGAACATGACATTTCCATAAAGGGGTTTTCACCCCTTAATAATTATTGGTCAGAACATAGGCCAAATTACAAATATGCAAATAACCAATACTTTTGTATACCGGCTGTATGTGTAGCAATGGGTGAAAAAATATTTAACACGTGTATGAAGTTATGAAATTCATATATGTATGTATTGTAAATTTAGAAAGTTATTTGAAACTGAAAATGTGTAATACCGTATAAAACTTGGCAGTTGCATATATATATGTTCTCCAATTTCTTAGAAAAATCACTTCCCAATTTTTACACACGAATTTATTTGGAGATCATTACATTTAGAGCATTATTTGGTCTCCATTTTGTACATATATAAATACAAATACTTATATGCATGGAGCAATATGTAAAAACATTTCAAAATGTTTGTGGTTTATGGGGATCAGAAGACATTCAGAAACTTTGATCGTCTTCAAAAGAAAAAGTTGAAAATAAATACTTTCAGTCTTACCTAATTGTAATTTGCAAAATGTAAATATATTTCTTTTACTTATAGCAACTCATTCCGATTACGATTACTCAAGACAGCTTTATTCCATCCATATACATACAACGTAGCGTAATACTTAAATTAAAATGTTAAAAACTTTTTTCTGCTAAAAAATAATTTCATTCGTTTTTTTTTACTTTTAGGATACACAAGTCACATTAAATTCTGCAATTTTATCGGTACATATTGAAATATTAATTATTTACAGCTCCCTATTCTGATTCAGATTCGCTACTATCACTCTCTAAAACTCCCTTCTTTTTATTATGCACCGTGTCGACATGCACTTTCAAATTCTTCTCGGATATGAACAACTTTTTACAAATTTTACACTTGACCGAGCACTTCCTCTGCCTCTCTCGATACTCTTTTTGTCTCTGTGCCCGCATCTCCCTAGCTTTCTGGGCCTCTTCCTTATTCGGATTGCAGACAATTCGCGTATGCACCTTTAGTGCGGTTTGTTGCGAAAATGATTGCCCACACTTCGAACATAAATACGACTTCTCCCTGGTGTGTACCACCATGTGAGCTTTAAGCAGATAGGCAGCATTTTCTCCGGTAAATACCCGGTCACATTCCGTACAATTGGCACTCCTTATCAGCACGTGGGTGACTCGCACGTGTTTAATCTTCTCTTTTACAGTGGGAAATTTGATGTCACAAATTTTGCAAAAATCTCGCTCCGACAATTCTGCATGAAATTCGTCCACGTGTTCTTGTAGACCACGTTGGGAGGTGAATTTCTTCTTGCATTCGGGAAAGTGGGGACATTTCATGACTTGTTCGGTGGGGTGGATTTGTTTTTTGTGCGTTTGTAGCGAATTGTAGGCAACGAAGGTGTTCAGGCAAAGGTCGCATTGAAAGGGGCGCTCCCTTCGAAGATCCCGCCTCGTACCGGAAGGGCCCTTGCAGTATCTTCGATGTCCGCGTAGATAGGAGGAAAAGTTAAATTTTCGGGGGCAGTTGGGACACTGAAATTGACCAGGATTTTCATGGACGTGCTTGACATGTCGGTCCAACTGGGCTTGGGAGGAGGATGTGTAGCCTGATTTGCATATTGGGCATGGAAATGTGTCCGTTGGAGGGGAACGACGGGTCTTCTTCTTGGTGTCTGGATCTGGATGTGCTTGACCGCGGTGAGAGACTAAACCCAGATAGGTTTTCAGTTGCTTGCCACAAACGTCGCAGATTGTCGATCTGTAAAATTGTTAAAAAATGGTGGAATTAGTTCATGCATAAATCGAGTATGATGTATCCTACCCCCTAGCCCCTAACTTTCTATCCCTATCCCCTAACTTTCTATCCCTATCCCCTGCATAGTACTTCCTACACCCTAAACCCCTAGCCCCTACTTTCTATCCCCTAAAACTCTATCCCCTACTTCCTAGCCCCTAAAACTCTATCCCCTACTTTTTATCCCCTAAACTCAAAATTTCTCACAATGCCCCAAATTTGTCAATATGCCCAAAATCTCTTAAAATACCCCAAATTTATCAAATTCTGGGCACCTGGGCAAGATACGAAAACTTTGAAACTACATGGGGCAAAGTGAGATTTCTAGCTTATGGGGCTATTGTTCGTAGTTAGCGAGCGAAGCCAGCAGGTTAGGTTAGATCTACTAGGTACGCGGAAGGCGTGAACTGGTCAGCTAGCTCTCCTAGCTAGGACTCCTAAATAAGGTGTTCAAGCTAGGACTCTAACTAGGTGTCCCAGCTAGGACCCTAAATAGGTGTCCTAGCTAGGACCCTAACTAATTGTCCTAGCTAGGCCCATATTTAATTGTCCTAGCTAAGACTCCTAGCACTCCTAGCTAGGCTTCCTCGCTACCTCCATTAGCTAACTTTCCTAACTAACACTATTATGTAGCTTTCCTAGCCAGCTCCACTAGCTAGGAGTCCTAGCTAGAAGAGCTAGCTAGGGCACCTAGTTAACAGTCCTAGCTAGGACACCTATTTAGGAGTCCTAGCTAGGAGAGCTAGCTGACCAGTTCACGCTTTCCGCGTACCTAGTAGATCTAACCTAACCTGCTCGCTTCGCTCGCTAACTACGAACGATACCCCCTTAATCTGGGAATCTCACCTTTCCCCATATAGTTTCAAAATTTTCGCACCTTGCCCCAGGTGCCTAGAATTTGGGGGGGGAATTTTAAGAGATTTTGGGCATTGTGAGAAAGTTTGAGTTTAAGGGATAAAAAGTAGGGGATTGAGTTTTAGGGGCTAGGAAGTAGGGGATAGAGTTTTAGGGGATAGAAAGTAGGGGCTAGGGGTTTAGGGGGTAGGAAGTACTATGTAGGGGTTAGGGGATAGAAAGTTAGGGGCTAGGGGGTAGGAAGTACATCATAAATCGAGTAAGTATATAAGAAAACTTGTACAAATTCGGTAATTTGTGTGTAATCGTTTGTCCGAATTTAAAAATATGTAGAATCTGATTTGAGATATCTAATCTTATACGATGTTTATCTAGAATTTTGAACTGTACGAGATTCTTGAAGATTTCGGCACCCAAAAACATTACCACATGTTTCAAAAGGAACCACGTATCTAAAAATATGCGAAGATATTTTTACGAAATTTAAAAAAAACTTCTTCACTTCCAGAGATTTTTTTGCTTTTAAACGTCAAAAAGTCCGAAAATATCAAAAAAAGACTATGATCTAGCTCAAACATGTTTTAACATTTTTTACGAAGTTTCAATAAATTTGTCCATTTTAAATACGTTTTCTTGCAATTCACATACAATTAAGCTCATTCGGACCTGTCTTTTTCTTCATCCTTATTGCGATGCGTTTCTCGATGCTCCCTTAAGGCAGCGATATCCTGAAATGTTTCACTGCATTCGTCACAGTGAGTAGTTGGATTCCAAACGTCGGAATGAAGCTCTCTAAGGTGTCTTCTCAAACCATTTTTTTGATAGTATTTCCTTGTGCAAAATTGACACTGGAAGCGCTGTTTACTTGCGTCATCGTCACCCGGGCGTTCTTTCTCGTCCAAGCTGTGGTGGAGGATAAATACATAATTAAGGAGTTATTTTAATACGTATTAATTTTATGTGGAGCTTGGCTTAACAGAAAACCTTTTCATGTCGAAATGAAGCCACTTTATATGTTTCCTTAGATCACGTTTGTAGCAATATTTCTTTGGACAAAATTGACACTGGAAATTTCTCTCGAATGGTTTCCTACTTTCTCCACTGGACTTGCCTTTCTGGTCAGAAATTTCCGACCTGTGGATTAAGCGTACATACATAATTATAGGGTAATTTTAGTCGGGCTAAATTTCATGCAAAATTTAAAATATTTAACAAACCTCGAGTCTTCGTCATCGTCAGAATCAGCGTCATTCTCATCGTTAACATCACTTATCATGTCATAATCCTGACTTTCTTCAGATCCGGATGAATTACTTTCATCCTTCTCATCATCATCACTTTGTTCATTTTGGTGGAAAGTTTTACGAATTAATTGGTCAGCCAGGACACGACTTTTCCTCTTCGTTGGGGGGTGATTGTCTAATTGCTCGTCACATTCGTTTCCAGGTGATGTGTCGACATGACCGGAAATTGAGGGTGATTTTCTGCTTATCTTTTCTGCAGGTACTTCGATAATATTTTCAATTTCCGTATCTGCTATTATTATTTGAACGGTTGATTCGGCTCTGGGTTTACCCTCAAATCCTGGGCGACATAAAAAAACGAAAAGTAAGGGCATATCATTTCAATTAAGTAAAATAATTAATTAGTTACTTGAAAGTCGAATTTGTCCAGTGGCAACTTCACGTGCTGAGTCGGCTACTTCGACAAATGGTTCCTCCTCCTTTATCGTAAAGATGTCATCATCTTGGTCACTTATCATGTCGTCATTTTCGGCAGGAGAGGAGGATTCGAGACAGTTAACTTGCAGCCATTTCGTCAATTCTGGACTATTTGCTTCTTCTTCATCGGACTCCTCGTCTTTTACTGCGGCTTGGGTGATGACCTCTGACCTTGACCTTGGGGTGATGATGCGAGTTTTTATGATTTCTGTATGCATCAAAATAAAATTTTCAGAAACGGACACACCCTCAAAATTTGTCTTCACATTTCACCCTCAATGATATCCAAATATGTAATTTTACACGTAAATTCTTAAATTAATCACCTGATTTCCGCTGCAGTTTCCTATTAACTATGACGTTTTTCAAAGTATCTAAAATTTTCTCTATTTCCATCTCCAAAATGGAAATTGTTGATTTTAAGCTGACCACTTTCTCCAACGAGTCGAAACAAGTTTTACACGAATAGCGAGAACTTTTACCTTCTTCACTGTTCAGAAAATTTGATAGTTCCGTCGCAAAAATTTGACCTGTCTTTTCATCCATAATTTTCACATCGGTACAAATTTCGTGACAAATTGCACAAGTTTTTCGTTTTAAAACGGCAGCAACGGCTCGTTCAGTTCTGTCGTCTCGTTTTATTAGCACCACTGCATCCAACTTGGCTACTTTCCTTTTCGACATTTTATAAACTTTAATTATAATGTAGAAGAGATAAAATTTTGTTATTTACAAATATACTTTTATTCGTTTGAAAAGTTTGTTGTGATAATAAACAACCGGGTTCGATTTTTTCCCACTCTTTTGTACCCACCACCACCACCACAATAATCTTTGTCTCTCTTTGCGACGAGGAAGCCAAAATTCATGTAGATAAATACGTGCATCAGTACTACTTACATACTTATGTATAACTACAAGATCCATATATCCATATAGATATGTACATGGCAATTGGTCAGACTTTTATCCTCTTTCGTACTGCGGATTTTAAAAAATAAAATTTCCCTTCGGTACGATGTTCTTTACATACATTTGATAGCAACCTATTAAACCCAGTTTCCAGTTTTTCCGTTTTTGATGAAAGCCATAAAAATCCACTTTTTAACATTGATGGGTATAGGGAAAATTCCAAAATTTGAGGAGAAGAATATCGAAAAAAATCCACCTTTTACCATGGATCCAGCTTTCCACAGAATACCAAAAAATACTCTTTAAAAAATTGGTCTTAGGCCAATTTAAGCACTACATATCTGAAATCATATCACTAAATATTTTTAAATTCCACAATTTTTACTTGCAGTACTTTTATATCTTTGAAACAATTTGAATCTGTGAGGCACACATTTTCATAACCTACATATGTATTTTTTCATATATGTATGTACAGTATGTAACAAATTTAATGCTACGATGACAAAATTTTTATATCGACATGAACGCGTAAATTTTAAAATTTCAAACTCTGCACAAAAATCTCAAAAGTATATACGGACAATTTCCTCGTCGTCGATCTTTAATATCGCACAAAGGTCAAAGGTCGCCATTATTTTTGTGAACAAATTTGAGGCGTCGAAAAAAAAACTTCGTGGATAATTTTTTTTGAACTTTCTAATATTTTTTATCGGATACGACATGCGTTTTGAAGAAAAATGAGCTTTGGTCGGACCGTGTACGATTTTTTTGACGCCCACAGGAATTTTTCGCCAAGGACAGGTCGAAGGCCTAAAATCGCCATCGCGGCGAAAATTCGAAAACTGAAATACACGTTTGCATGTCGGGACTTTCAATATGCAAACGTATATTTCAGTTTTCGAATTTTCGCCGCGGTGGCGATTTTAGGCCTTCAACCTGTCCTTGGCGAAAAATTCCTGTGGGCGTCAAAAAAATCGTACACGGTCCGACCAAAGCTCATTTTTCTTCAAAACGCATGTCCTATCCGATAAAAAATATTAGAAAGTTCAAAAAAATTATCCACGAAGTTTTTTTTTCGACGCCTCAAATTTGTTCACAAAAATAATGGTGACATTTGACCTTTGTGCGATATTAAAAATCGGCGACGAGGAAATTATCCGTATATACTTTTGAGATTTTTGTGCGGAGTTTGAAATTTTAAAATTTACGCGATCATGTCGATATAAAAATTATGTCATCGTAGCATTAAATTTGTTACATACTGTACCTAAAAAAACACTAAAATGATAATATTTAATACTCACTGGTTACATGGCAAAATGAAAACGCTAGTTAAGAAGAAAACAGAAGAATAAAATTTTATTTATACATACGTAATATGTATGTATGTATATGTCGGTTAAAAGAATTTATAACTTTTATTAAACTTGGTCTTTGCAGTACATTATTTCATCATTATTTTACTATCATTTAGTCACTATTAACCACGACAAATTTCAACGACATTAGATAAAAATACAATTACCGCCAAGCCATTTATAAAAATTAAATTAGTTTAAAAATTATCTTCGATCAAGCCGCTTGCGCTTCTAAAAAATGAAGAACACAAACTTCTACAATGTAATCATTTTCTACAAAAACACTGATTGAAAAAATTATAAAAAAATTTCAATTACAAAAATTTCAATAAAAAAATTTCAATAAAAAAATTAAAAAAACAATTATTTTGGATAAAACTTTTTTTATAAAAATTAGAAAAAAATGTGTTCGACCAAACCATTGCAAAAATAAAGGTTATTTATGATAAAACAATTTCTAAAAAAAATGTCTGACACGTAAAATACGAGTACATACATCTATGTTTATACTTCATTTACGCAGGTATGTATGTACCGACCGTATATTTTTTAAATGATCTGCATACATAAATTATCTATGTATCCCCTCAGCCACTTTTTCCAGGAGACGACAGATTTTTCCTATCTACCAAAATCCATGACAATAATTATCTATATCATGTGCAAAGGGCGTAAATTTTTACTGTCCTCTCACAACAAACAATCTCATATTCACACTTTCCATGAAAAATGTCATAAACCAAGACAAATGACGCATTTCGACAAGAAAAATACGTTGTAGTCCCGTTAAAATTTATGACCAGCTTCTGGATAAGTTCAGCTAACATTTTCTTTCCAACCACTGCCCTGGCTGTCCTTTTTTAGGAACGAAATTAGACATTTATATAGATCCAAGTCATATTTATGTATGTGTACTGTAAAGAAAATGCTGCATACATACATACATATGAGTCTTAAGAGATTCGATACGCACGTACATATGTACGTATACACATATAAATACATACTTTTGTAGCATTTAAGATATGTAGGATGGAGAAATGAGTCAGACTACGACGGAAAGCAACGTCAAATTTCAGTAAGTCAATGATCAAGTGCAGCTAACATGTCCTTGAAATATTTATGTACATGTACATACACCCCTGAAAATTATGTCACTCTTTTCTAAAGCAAATTCACCTCCAATTTTAGTCAAAGCCAATTACATACATATTTATACTAAATCCTGAATAAACCCTTTAATAGGTGAACGTTGCTCTGGATTTTGTATACATAGCTTAGCTCATAAAGAATTCGGAAAATGCTTGCATTTACATACATATGTACATTCTTTTCAAAAATGGCACCATTATTTTTAAGAGTGTAGGATTTTCTCTGCAGAATAAGTATGGTTTGTAAATACATATATACATACATACATATCTAGTCTCGTTCCTTAAAAAGGATACCGTGAAGTGGTTACATAGAATTAAAATGCTGCCTCAACTTAATGAGTCGTAAGTTTAATGGGATCGCAGCCTATTTTTCTTGTCCATTCCTCTTTGGTTGTGGTATTTTTCAACTTTTGTAGATATGAAAATGCCTCCTATAGAAGGACAATAATAATAATTTACACCCCGCTTAATAAATATAATTGTTTTCCATGGATTTTGTTATCTTAAGAAAAATCCTTGAGAGGTCTTTTCTTTGAAATGGTAAATGACCCCGATCACATATTTATGTTCAGATTTATTTTATGCATGCAGTGTAGCAGGTGGCTACCTAATTATTCTTCACACTCTTAAAAATAATGAGACCCCTTTGGAAAAGTAAATCTACTCTGAATTCTACATTAAGTAAACTACACTAAATTAGTGAGTAATGTTTACTTCATCAGGAGTAAAATTTCTGCTGGATTTAGTTAAGTTTGTCTAATCTATATTATAAGCTGGAAATGTCTGTTGGCAACGGAAGTGAAAGTAAATGTTCCGCAACGGAAGTGAAAGTGGAGAAAGTTAAGTTTCGAATGGCGCGAAAATTCAAAACAAATTAAAAATTCAAAAATTACGGTCCGATGTTAGTTATCTGGGAGTGGTTGTCTGATGGTGCTTATCTGGGAGTGGTTGTCTGATGGTGCTTATCTGGGAGTGGTTGTCTGATGGTGCTTATCTGGGAGTGGTTGTCTGATGGTGCTTATCTGGGAGTGGTTGCCTGATGGTGCTTATCTGGGAGAGGTTGTCTGATGGTTTATTTTGGGATGATTGTTTGTCACTCCACTGCGGGGTGGAGTGGGAGTCAGACAGCAGTACTCGGAATTTGTCACTCCACTTCGGCGGGGAGGAGTGGAAGTGGGAGTCAGAAATAGAGATGTGCATAGGGTAGGGTATACCCTAAAAAAATCCTACCCTGCCCTACCCTATAGGGCTTTGGGCGGGCGGGCTTTTATTACCCTGAATTTTTAAGGGCAGGGTAGGGTAGGGCTTTTCTAAGTAGGGCCGGGCGGGCTTTTTTGTATGTACACCAATATGATGTAGGGCAGGGTAGGGCTTTTCCGTTTTACTATAACGCAGTCAACCATCGAGCAGGCGATTAGAAATGAGACGTGGGACAATCTTGTCATCTTTCTGCTGTATTAATTCACTTGTGTTACAAGTACTTAAAATTGATTATACTATGGAGATTGACTACTCCATGTTGACATTTGTTACTGGTGTGGCGACACAAAATTTGGAAAGTTGCAAAAAGACTTAAATTTCTTGCGTCACATTCCATAAATATAAGAATTGTTCAACCACACGAGTACGAGAGCCAAGAAGTTCATTTTTGTCCGGTGGAAACGTTAACGAAATTAAGTTTGATTTACAAAATTACTAGACCATTTTTGAAGTTTTAATGGCATTATAATTTTTTTTAATCATCATAATTGCGAACTAATAATATATTAATATTATTAGTTGCTTTAAACGATTTACATAAACAATTATGAATAGGGCCTGGGCCCAAAGCCCTATAGGGTAGGGTAGGGTTTTTATTGATAAAGAAAATCTAGGGTAGGGCTAGGGCGGGCTTTATTTTTCTAGGGTAGGGCAGGCCCGGGTTTCAGTTTTACCCTACCCTATAGGGTAGGGTAGGGCAGGGCGAGGCCAAGTAGGGTATAGGGTAGGGCGGGCAATGAAAAATGCCGGCCCTGCACATCTCTAGTCAGAAACGAGTACATAGAATTTGTCACTCCACTGCAGAGTGGAGTGGAAGTGGAGTGGGAGTCAGACACGAGCACACAGAAATGTCACTCCACCACTTATCTTTTACATCCGTTGCCGACAGATATTTCCAGCTCTTATTTTCGCTTGCCCGGCGGGAGACGGGCTTATACGCTAGTATACATACAATTGAGATTGAATTTACATGTTTTCAACAGGGTAATATTATTCCTAAGTGTGCATGGATTTTGGTCGATGAAATCTGTCCTTTCCTTGGATTACTTTGGAAGCACTGATTCACTCGGATTACTGAAGAACAG